TTGCTGACACTCTGCTAGAAGAATACCCTACTTGCTCTCCATAGTGAGATCTGGAATGTACCAAAGTCTTTTGAAAAACCATTAGTAAACTCATGCAGTAGCATTCACCAACTGCGTTTCTTCTGTGACGCTAACAATAGATTCAATCCCCTTATGTATCCTCTCTTTTTAAGATGGAAGAACTGTGGGGAAGAGACCAAAAAGAATGTTTGTGAAGGGCCTCTATGCCGGTAGCGTGGGGCCTGCCTGTTAATCATGGTAGTAATCCTGCATTTCTATTATACTTTTCAACCTGTTAGGACTATTTCATCTGTCAGAGAAATGCAGCTATTTCACCAAGGCCCCAATTCAGCGAAGCACTTAAGCATGTGTTTAACTTTAAGCATGGGAGTGGCCCCATTGAAGTCAATTTGGCACTCAAAGTTGAGCAGAAAGCCAGCATTAATGCTTTAAGAATGTTGCAGGATCTTCAATGATTACATGGGTGTGGGACTTTGCAATCCGCACCCAATGTTAATATTGGAATAGTCTTAAGAGAGATTCTGAAGTGAACTGGGTGGAGATGTGAATTCACATCCTGTTGCTATAACTGTTCAATTAGAGAACGTTTCCTTTGAGTTGATTTACGTATTGAAGAGTCTTCAACACATAAGAAGGTAATTTTACATTACACAGTCTAAAACTTTCAAAAAATAATACAGTTGCCCTTCATTTATCAGTGTGGTGTCACTAGTTAAGTGTAGTCTGCCTACTTTTGTATATAGCTAATGTCAGCTGAAGGGCTGTTGCACTTTTTGTCAGTTTAAATATCTAGATTCCATTTAAAAATAAACCACAGAAGTATTTTGAAACAATTCGTAGTGCACATTAACCAGAGATACTTGGTTCTTACCACTGTACAATAAAGATACCAGTCAGCCAAAAGCTGGTGACTTTGAAAGCGCTTCAGTTGAGTTAGTCTGCAGTTACCTATATTTAACTTTTGCTAGTGTTACTGAACACACGCGACTTAGGTCAGGCCATGAATTCAAAGTAATGCCGGTAATTTATAAAGCCTTCAACCAGCAGAGATGTAGTTGCCTACTAGATGGTCGGATCATCTTTGATGTGAGACCATGCTTGAGTGTTTCTGCTCTTTGCCCTCAAAAGTGCTCATGCTGAAGGCAATGGAAGCAGGCATATAAATGACAGCAGGCAGGTAGAGAGACAAGGTGGGTGAGGTAATCTCTTGTATTGGACCAACTTCTGTTGGTGAGATAGCACTAGAGCGCTGCAGCTCTGCTACTGTAACGCTGTAAGTGTAGACAAGTCCAAAGTGAGGACGCTACCTATGCCGATGGGAGAACCGCTTTCATAGCTATAAGTGCTCCGCCTCCCCAAGAGGTGGTAGCTATGTCGACAGGAGAAGTCCTCCTACTGACACAGCGCTGTCTACACTGGGAGTTCTGTTGGTATAACTGGGTTGCTCAGGGGTGTGTGTTTCCTATGCCCCCAGCGATGTAGTTATACTGACATAACTTTGTACTGTAGAGCAGGGCGGAGACAAGCTTCCCAGCCAGGCAGAGCTCTTTTTCAGATCTGGGAAGGGTACGCCAAGCATCACAGCTAATCCAAGATGAAACAGACTGTTTTGCGTAAGGAGTTAGCACCTATTCTAAGGGGCCACGAAATACAGAGTGGCCCATCAACACAGGACAAAAAGTGGGAGTCAGTGCGTTACAGCTTGTTGTAATAAGCCATAAATCCAGAGTCTCTGTTCGGGCTATGATTTTTAATGTCTAGCAGAGTTTTGAACTAAGTGCTAAGTCTTGTCTGTTCAAAGTGTTCTACAGGTTACCTTTGAGGATGAGGACCGATAGGTCAGACATACAACGATCGCTCTGTGAAAAGCATTGACCTATAAGCCTTTTTTTTTTTTTTTGTCTTTTATCATGTTTGAATAAACTCATACAGGAAAATCTCCAATATCCCTAGTGTGTACCTTAACTACAAACTATAAGGGGGCCTCTTCTTCTTGTTTTGGCCAAATTAAAGTGCAATAGCTTCAAAGCAGGAAGACTGCGAAGACTCACTGGTCAAATCCCTTCACCTTACTAGGTAGAGGAAGGAATTGAAGAGGATCTCTAACAGCATTGGAGAGTATCCATACTAGAGGACGTCTCATAGTGGCATTGGCCCAACGAATATTTAATTAAAAGAAACCAGCTTCACCAAACAACGAAGAGTACCCTACACCAGCATACCTCATAGTCCATCACTTAGGACATTTGCTTTAGTAGCAGGAGAGTGGTGTTCAAATTATTTCTAATCAAGAAGAAGAGGGACTGAACCACAATTATCCACATCCCATGTGAGCACCCAAAACAAAGGACCATACACTGTCTCAGGGCCCTCATCGGGCAGCGAGAGGAAACTGCACCAAGCTCTCCCCTATCCTGGATGAGTACTGTAACCACTGAGCTAAATATTGTAAGGGAGGCCGTGTCCTCCATAACTGCCTTGTGTGGTGTGAGATGGCCTCTGAGTAGGCATAACTCCCTCTGCCAGATCTACAAAGGGCCTTAGCTACAGCAATAATCAGTGTTGCCATCCCTAATTTTTAGATGCCTAGAAAATCACTGGAATGACAATGGGTGCCCTGAAGCTTAACTTAGGCACTTGGGGTCCCTCTTCAATGAATGGGGAGGGATAGGCACCTAAGCATGGGATGCACAAAAGCAAGCACACTAGGCTAGGAGCCACTTAAGCTAGCCAGTATGCATCCGATGAAGTTAGCTGTAGCTCACGAAAGCTTATGTTCAAATAAACTGGTTAGTCTCTAAGGTGCCACAAGTACTCCTTTTCTTTTTGTGAAAACAGACTAACACGGCTGTTACTCTGAAACCACTCAATAGTAGAGTGGTTACACGACTCTCATAGGCTCTTGGGGAGGCTGATTTAATTCCTCCACCAGCTGAGAAAGAAGGAATTTGAACTGGGAGCGCCTGTTATCTTTCCTTTTCAAGCAGTTCCACTGGAAGAAAATATTAATTGGGCCAAAGCACATGTGAGAAGCCCTCTGTAGTATAGTGGTTACATTATTCATGTGGAATGTTGAAGATGTGGCTTCAATTCCTTCCTTTACTTGATGAAAAGAAGGATTTGAAGAGGGAGCTTCTTCAGTCTTGCCTCTTGAAGCTGTTCCACTTGAATTAAATATTAAGGGAACCAAAATCCAAGATAGAAGCTCTCTGTGGTACAGTGGTGAGGCTAAACATGTGGTGCATTAAAGACCCTGCTTCAGTTCTTCCCTTTGCCTGATGAGGAAAAGGGATTTGAAGTGGGCACTCCCTCAGCTTCTTCTCTTAAAGCTGTTCTACTTTAATTAACTATAAATTGGTCTGATAATCCCCCAAGGAGCCTCTATAGTACAGTGGTTAGGCTCCTCCCTGTGAGAACTCTTAGCAAATGTGGGTTCATTTTCCACATGTACCAGATAAACTAACAACTCTGTTTCTCTTAAAGCTGTTCAACTTTAATTAACTAATAACTGGGCCAAATCAAAACAGACAGGTACTCTACAACAGAGGGGTGAGACTACTCCCCTGGACAGTTGGAGCTGTGGATTCAAGTCTTCTCTCTATCTGTTGAGATGCAGGGATTTAAACTGGGCATGATGCAGCTCTTGCCTTGTGAAGCTGCTCCACTTTAACTCAATATTAATTGGGTCAAGCAAAGAATGAAGAGTCCTTTATAGTAGAATGGTTCAGCGCCTCGCTTGTGAGATGTTGATTTACTGATTCAATTCCTTCCCCCCCGATGAAATGAGGAGAATGTGTTTGAATGGGAGTGCCCTCAGTCTTACCTCTTGAACCTATATCACTTTAATTGGGATAAAAAACACAAGCAGTCACTATAGCGCAGTGGCTGAGTTGATGCCCTTAGAGTCTAATTAAGCAGGTTCAAGTCTCCCTTTCAGATGACAGGATTTGAAGCAGGAGATTCCTAAATCTTTCCTCTTGAAACTATTCCGCATTAATTAAATAGTAATTAGGCCAAAACAAAAACAAGCAGCTATCTATGTTACACTGGTTAAGCTAGTCACGTGGGGAAACTTGGAGTCGCTAGTTCCATTTCTCCCTCCATTGGATGATGAGGAGAAGTGGTTTGAACAGGGAGCTCCTGATGTCTTCCCACTTGGAAGCTGTTCCACTTTAATTAAATATTAATTGGGCCAAAACAAATGTAAGAAACTCTCTACGGTACAGTGGTTAGGTTATGCCCCTGATATCCTTAAAGTCACTGGTTCAATTCCTTTCACTGCTGCATAAGGAGAAGGGGTTTCAAGTGGGAGCTCTTTCTGTCTTGCCTCTTGAAGTGGTTCCATATAAAATAAATAGTAATTTGGCAAAAGTAAAAAGAAGCAGCTCTCTACACGACAGTGGTTAGACTCCTCCCATAGGAAACTTAGCGTGGTTGGTTCAATACCACTGTCTCCCTGAGAAGAAGGGGACTGAACTGGGAGATCATTAGGTCTTTCCTCTTGCAGCTGTTCCATGTAAATTAAATAGTGATTGAGCCAAAAAAAAAAAAAAAACAAGAAGCCCTCTACACTACAGCTTTAATGAAGTATTAATTGGGCCAAACTTAGAACAAGCGGCTTCTATGGGACATTTGGAGTTGCTGGTTCAATTGCTTCCTTTTCCCAAGGAGGAAAAGGGGATTGAACTGGGAGCTCCTTATGTCTTTCCACTTGCAGTTGTTCCACGTCAATTAAATAGCGACTGGGCCAAAGGAAAAGCAAGAAGCCTTCTACGCTACAGCGGTTAGGCTACTCCCTTGGGAAACTCAAGGTTGCTGGTTCAATGCTACTGCCTCCCTGAACAGGAGACAGGGACTGAACTGGGAGCTCTTTAGGTCTTTCCTCTTGCCGCTGTTCCATGTAAATTAAATAGTGATTGGGCCAAAGGAAAATCAAGAAGCCCTCTACGCTACAGCGGTTAGGCTACTCCCCTGGGAAACACAAGGTTGCTGGTTCAATACCACTGCCTCCCTGAAGAGGAGACAGGGATTCAAGTGGGAACTCTTTAGGTTTTTTCCTCTTGCCACTGTTCCACGCCAATTGAATAGCGACTGGGCCAAAGGCAAAACAAGAAGCCCTCTACGCTACAGCGGTTAGGCTACTCCCCTGGGAAACGCAAGGTTGCTGGTTCAATACCACTGCCTCCCTGAAGAGGAGACAGGGAGCGAACTGGGAGCTCTTTTGGTCTTTCTTGTCGCTGTTCCAAGTCAACTGAATAGTAATTGGGCCAAAGGAAAAGCAAGAAGCCCTCTACGCTACAGCGGTTAGGCTACTCCCCTGGGAAACTCAAGGTGGCTGGTTCAATACCAACACCTCCCTGAAGAGAAGACAAGGACTCAATGGGGAACTCTTTAGGTTTTTCCTCTTGCCGCTGTTCCACGCCAATTGAATAGCGACTGGGCCAAAGGCAAAGCAAGAAGCCCTCTACGCTACAGCGGTTAGGCTACTCCCCTGGGAAACTCAAGGTGGCTGGTTCAATACCAACACCTCCCTGAAGAGGAGACAGGGACTCAATTGGGAACCCTTTAGGTTTTTCCTCTTGCCGCTGTTCCACGCCAATTGAATAGCGACTGCGCCAAAGGCAAAGCAAGAAGCCCTCTACGCTACAGCGGTTAGGCTACTCCCCTGGGAAACGCAAGGTTGCTGGTTCAATACCACTGCCTCCCTGAAGAAGAGACAGGGAGCGAACTGGGAGCTCTTTTGGTCTTTCCTCTTGTCGCTGTTCCAAGTCAACTGAATAGTAATTGGGCCAAAGGAAAAGCAAGAAGCCCTCTACGCTACAGCGGTTAGGCTACTCTCCTGGGAAACTCAAGGTTGCTGGTTCAAGTCTGTCCTCTACCAGATGAGGACAAGGACTTTAAGTGGGAGCTCCTTCTTTCTTGCCTCTTGAAGCTGTTCCACTTCAAGTCAATAGCAATTGGACCAGCAAGACCATTAGGATCACTCTGTAGCCCAGTGGGTAGGCTACTGACATAGAAAGTGGGAGACCCCAGTTCAAATCCTCCCTCGGCCTGTTAAGAAGAGGCTTGGACAAGGATGGATCACCTCCCAGGTGACAGGGCTGAGGGTGAGCGGCCCCTGTTTAAATTCCCTCCTTTCTCAGGAGGCCCTTGTCTTTCTGGAAACAGAGGAGGTCTAAACAATGATCCCCCACCTCTCAGGTTCCCTTGGGTGTGGGGGTCGGGGGGAGGTGTGTGGGGGGTTGGGTGGGGGGTCGGGGGGTGGGGGGGTGGGGGGTTGGGGGGTGGAGGTGGGGGGAAAGAGGTCCCTGGGAGGTGGGACACCCCTGTTCAAATCCCTTTGCAGAGGAGGGGTTTGAACAGGGGTCTCCCACAGCCTGACCCATGGGGGGCAAAAGAGTGATCCGCATTTTTGGACCCCCAAGTCATAGCTAATTAAAAGAGGAGCCTACAGTGCCAGATGCCAAGGTCAACCCTCCCCCCCACGTCACGTGAAGGGTCTACACACTAGACTACAAGAGGGCTTCTCCTCCTTTCTTGGGCCCAATTAATATTTCCCGTCAGCTCATACTGTCCTGTGACTACACACTTCCGTTTTAACCAAAGGCAAAACAGTCCAGACAAATGCAGAACCTGTATGTGGCCTGCCAAATCTGGTCAACATTCAACTGGGTCTCTCTGCGTTACGGCCCTTTGCGTGACCTGACGATTGTGTTCAGACGGGATGCCCAATAATGTCTAAACACGAGGCGATGCAGAAGAACTGGCCCACTTCCAGCATCTACGGCCGCGCTGGGACCACCCCAGCGCCAGCCACATGCCTCATGCCGCAGCCATGAATGGCTTCCAGCCCGCGGGTGACCCTGACTCAGGACTCAGCCCCCTTCGCACACCTGCCCGGCAGACTCGGGTCGAGTCCAGGGAGCTGTCAATGGCAGACAGGGCCACGGGCCCCAGCCCGCCACGAACGGTCTCCCCCTGCTGCCCCCACCCCCCCGGATTCACGCCCCTCCGGCACCTGGCCACAGAGCCGGGGCCCCGGGCCCCGCTCTCCCCACGGCCCCTCCTGCTCCCACTCGCCAGCCCAGCGGGGGGCGAGGCCAGCCCAGGGGGCGGGGCCGGGGCCGGGGCCCGGGCGGGGGGGGAGCCCCCTTCGCCCCCGACACTCACCCAGCGCTCCCCTGGGAAGCAGCGCGAGCGCCAGCAGCGCCGAGAGACGCGGGATCCAGCCCGGCCGAAGCAGCTCCATGGCGCCGAGCAGCGCCGCACCCGGGCGCCGCGCCTCGCACTGCGCATGCGCCGAACCGAGCCCCCGCCGCCGCCGCCTCGGGAGCGCGCTCGCGGGTCGCCGCGGCCGCCGCAGGGCAGGGGCCGGGCCGGGCCGAGAAAGGCGGCGGCCGCCCCGCCCGGGAAGCCCGCGGCCAGGCTCGCCCAGCGCGGCGCCGGTCCCCGGTCCCCGGTCCCCGCCCGGGGGAGGGAGGGAGGCCGCCAGCCAAGGCCTCGCTGCGCCACCGGTTTTCGCCCAGCTCCGCGGCTCCCCCCGTCGGCCCCGCTCTGGTGCGACCCAGCGGGGAGCGGGGACCCGGGCCGGGGACGGCTGAAGGCGCACAAGCCGGGGGGCAACAATGCCCCTGAGGGATTCGGGCCTGAGGGCTGCTCTTTGGGCGCTGCCAACTGCTGCGCTTCCCTACCCGAGCTTGTTTTCTCTGCCTGGCTGCATGCCCGGAAGGGGCTGCTCGCAGGCGGATTTCTCCCCGGGTTTGTGTCGCTGCTCAATGGCACAGGTCCCCCGCTTCAGACTAAAGGGCGAGTTAATTCTCCCCACACACACCCCCCCAGCCCCCTTAACCTGATGCTAATCATTGGCTGGGGGTGGGACGGGCCCCCTCTCAGTGGTAGGGTGACGGCTAGAGACGGGTCATCTGTTGGTTTGTCCTAGGAAAACTGTTCCACTCTCGCTTCCCGGTCGGACAAACAGGCTTTAAGAAAGACCAAAAGGGCCTTTAGTCCTCGGTCAAAAGCCCAGAGAGAGCAACGTCTGCTCCAAAAACAAGTTCATCTGTAGTTTCCTGCCCATGAAGTCATTTTCAAGTAACAGCCGTGTTAGTCTGTATTCGCAAAAGAAAAGGAGTACTTGTGGCACCTTAGAGACTAACCAATTTATTTGAGCATGAGCTGAGCTGTAGCTCACGAAAGCTCATGCTCAAATAAATTGGTTAGTCTCTAAGGTGCCACAAGTCCTCCTTTCCTATTTTCAAGTAAGTGATCCAAGAAGAAAGAATTGCATACAGATTGTAGGCAGAGTTTCATCCCAGTCTGAAATGTTTAACTCCTCCTAGCTAGCTTCCTGGTAGGATAAACAGGCTTTAAGAAAGAACAAAAGGGCCTTTAGTCCTAGGCCAAAAGCAGAGCGAGACAGAGAGCAACGTTTGCTCCACTGAGTGATGCCACTTAAAAACTTGCCACTAAATGTTACATTTGATTTGTATGAGTCCCTAGACCCCACTGAGAGCGCATTGCCATAGGCCAGTGATACTCAGATTGAGGCTCTTGAGCTGCAAGTGGCTCTTGAATGCCTCTCTTGCAGCACATGAGAGGGAAACAATGCATGATGTTAAATAAGTAACCAATCAGGATGCTCTTACTAGATGAATGCATTGTAGTTGATAAAACAATAATAATACTTGGCCAGTTGTTTTGCTGTGCGAATAAAATGTGTCGATAGAAAACCGAAACCTTTCCTGTGGCCTACTGTAGTAAATAAAACCATTAATTTAACACTGTGGCTCTTTTGGATGATGGTGATTGCTAATTTGGCTCCTCAACTACTGAGGTCTCAGAGCAGCCATCCTAAGTACTGCTCTGAACACACAACCAGTCAGAGACAGTTTCCTATCTGTTTCTCTCCTTATCCTTACCCCCTGCTCCCCACTGCCCAACTCTACGCATGGCACTTAGTTTGAATTTGGGTGCAGTACCGTACAGCTATCCTACTGAAACCGCTCTTTTAGCTTCACTTATCGGAATGCTTGTCAACCACAGGGCTCTCTGGCTTGTTCCAAGCAGCTTCACAGTATTTTACCTGTGTCAGTTATTGAAAATGGGCTGAAAGATGGAGTGTCACACCCATTCAGGAAAGGAGCCGTGAGGCTTTTGCTCCTTCTTAAAAACTAATGCCACTGAGTTATATTAAAGTGTACGGTAGAATGCTCGTGTCAGAGCAGCTGAGCTGACTTATCTTCCCAGTTAACAGTGGGAAGCTGGAGAAAGACATGTGCATTGTAGTCTGTTCACCACAGGCTTGTCATTTGGGCCCTTTTCTGCACAAGTTAACCTAAATGCAAGACACCGCACATTGATCTCATCTTGGCAAACTGCTTTGCACTTAAAAATGACACACTTCACTAATGCTGACCCACAAACCAGCTTACTACTGTTACAAGATGATTGGGGGCGGGGGGGCAGGGAGGTATATGGAGCCAAAAGTCAAGAAGGTAAAAGGCTCTCCTCTGTAGAGGCTCTCACCCCGTGCCTCTTGCTGTTTCTCTGCACCACCTCTTAGGCTGCCAGCTCCTGGGCGAGGAGACCTGTTTTACTTGCCAAAAGCATTGCACAAACCTAGGGCAATGTCTAAACACCACAGGAACAGTAAGGTCTGAAATGAATCCAGGAGCTTGGATGCTCTTTAGCATCTGTAACAGTGCACATTCTTTGGAGCCCCTGCAGTAGCCTGCATTAAGCACAGAAAGAAAAGGCTGCATCCTCAAGGCCGCACCTTGAGTCCTGTGAAATCAATGGGAGTTCTGCCAGCAGCAACTCTACTGGGCCCAGAAGAGACTTATTCCTGAAAAGTTTGTCTAGTTTATGAAGTTATGCAGATAAGATCCCTCCCTCAAGCTTTCGTGAAGCCGTTCCACTTAAATTAAGTATTAATTGGGCCAAACTTAGAACAAGCGGCTTCTATGGGACATTTGGAGTTGCTGGTTCAATTGCTTCCTTTTCCCAAGGAGGAAAAGGGGATTGAACTGGGAGCTCCTTATGTCTTTCCTCTTGCCGCTGTTCCACGTCAATTAAATAGCGCCTGGGCCAAAGGAAAAGCAAGAAGCCTTCTACGCTACAGCGGTTAGGCTACTCCCTTGGGAAACTCAAGGTTGCTGGTTCAATGGTACTGCCTCCCTGAACAGGAGACAGGGACTAATGGGTTTATTTTTCTCTTGCCCTTTCCACGTCAATTAAATACCTTGGGCCAAAGGCAAAGCAAGAAGCCCTGGCTCCCGTACTCCCCTGGGAAACTCAAGGTTGCTGGTTCAATACCACTGCCTCCCTGAAGAGGAGACAGGGACTCAATGGGGAACTCTTTAGGTTTTTTCCTCTTGCCGCTGTTCCACGCCAATTGAATAGCGACTGGGCCAAAGGCAAAGCAAGAAGCCCTCTACGCTACAGCGGTTAGGCTACTCCCCTGGGAAACTCAAGGTTGCTGGTTCAATACCACTGCCTCCCTGAAGAAGAGACAGAGAGCGAACTGGGAGCTCTTTTGGTCTTTCCTCTTGTCGCTGTTCCAAGTCAACTGAATAGTAATTGGGCCAAAGGAAAAGCAAGAAGCCCTCTACGCTACAGCGGTTAGGCTACTCCCCTGGGAAACTCAAGGTTGCTGGTTCAATACCACTGCCTCCCTGAAGAGGAGACAGGGACTCAATGGGGAACTCCTTAGGTTTTTCCTCTTGCCGCTGTTCCACGCCAATTGAATAGCGACTGGGCCAAAAGCAAAACAAGAAGCCTTCTACGCTACAGCGGTTAGGCTACTCCCTTGGGAAACTCAAGGTTGCTGGTTCAATGCTACTGCCTCCCTGAACAGGAGACAGGGACTGAACTGGGAGCTCCTTATGTCTTTCCTCTTGCCACTGTTCCACGTCAATTAAATAGCGCTTGGGCCAAAGGAAAATCAAGAAGCCCTCTACGCTACAGCGGTTAGGCTACTCCCCTGGGAAACTCAAGGTTGCTGGTTCAATACCACTGCCTCCCTGAAGAGGAGACAGGGACTCAAGTGGGAACTCTTTAGGTTTTTTCCTCTTGCCACTGTTCCACGCCAATTGAATAGCGACTGGGCCAAAGGCAAAGCAAGAAGCCCTCTACGCTACAGCGGTTAGGCTACTCCCCTGGGAAACGCAAGGTTGCTGGTTCAATACCACTGCCTCCCTGAAGAGGAGACAGGGAGCGAACTGGGAGCTCTTTTGGTCTTTCTTGTCGCTGTTCCAAGTCAACTGAATAGTAATTGGGCCAAAGGAAAAGCAAGAAGCCCTCTACGCTACAGCGGTTAGGCTACTCCCCTGGGAAACTCAAGGTGGCTGGTTCAATACCAACACCTCCCTGAAGAGAAGACAAGGACTCAATGGGGAACTCTTTAGGTTTTTCCTCTTGCCGCTGTTCCACGCCAATTGAATAGCGACTGGGCCAAAGGCAAAGCAAGAAGCCCTCTACGCTACAGCGGTTAGGCTACTCCCCTGGGAAACTCAAGGTGGCTGGTTCAATACCAACACCTCCCTGAAGAGGAGACAGGGACTCAATTGGGAACCCTTTAGGTTTTTCCTCTTGCCGCTGTTCCACGCCAATTGAATAGCGACTGGGCCAAAGGCCAAGCAAGAAGCCCTCTACGCTACAGCGGTTAGGCTACTCCCCTGGGAAACTCAAGGAGGCTGGTTCAATACCAACACCTCCCTGAAGAGGAGACAGGGACTCAATGGGGAACTCTTTAGGTTTTTCCTCTTGCCGCTGTTCCACGCCAATTGAATAGCGACTGGGCCAAAGGCAAAGCAAGAAGCCCTCTACGCTACAGCGGTTAGGCTACTCCCCTGGGAAACTCAAGGTGGCTGGTTCAATACCAACACCTCCCTGAAGAGGAGACAGGGACTCAATTGGGAACCCTTTAGGTTTTTCCTCTTGCCGCTGTTCCACGCCAATTGAATAGCGACTGCGCCAAAGGCAAAGCAAGAAGCCCTCTACGCTACAGCGGTTAGGCTACTCCCCTGGGAAACGCAAGGTTGCTGGTTCAATACCACTGCCTCCCTGAAGAAGAGACAGGGAGCGAACTGGGAGCTCTTTTGGTCTTTCCTCTTGTCGCTGTTCCAAGTCAACTGAATAGTAATTGGGCCAAAGGAAAAGCAAGAAGCCCTCTACGCTACAGCGGTTAGGCTACTCTCCTGGGAAACTCAAGGTTGCTGGTTCAAGTCTGTCCTCTACCAGATGAGGACAAGGACTTTAAGTGGGAGCGCCTTCTTTCTTGCCTCTTGAAGCTGTTCCACTTCAAGTCAATAGCAATTGGACCAGCAAGACCATTAGGATCACTCTGTAGCCCAGTGGGTAGGCTACTGACATAGAAAGTGGGAGACCCCAGTTCAAATCCTCCCTCGGCCTGTTAAGAAGAGGCTTGGACAAGGATGGATCACCTCCCAGGTGACAGGGCTGAGGGTGAGCGGCCCCTGTTTAAATTCCCTCCTTTCTCAGGAGGCCCTTGTCTTTCTGGAAACAGAGGAGGTCTAAACAATGATCCCCCACCTCTCAGGTTCCCTTGGGTGTGGGGGTCGGGGGGAGGTGTGTGGGGGGTTGGGTGGGGGGTCGGGGGGTGGGGTGGGTGGGGGGGTTGGGGGGTGGAGGTGGGGGGGAAAGAGGTCCCTGGGAGGTGGGACACCCCTGTTCAAATCCCTTTGCAGAGGAGGGGTTTGAACAGGGGTCTCCCACAGCCTGACCCATGGGGGGCAAAAGAGTGATCCGCATTTTTGGACCCCCAAGTCATAGCTAATTAAAAGAGGAGCCTACAGTGCCAGATGCCAAGGTCAACCCTCCCCCCCCACGTCACGTGAAGGGTCTACACACTAGACTACAAGAGGGCTTCTCCTCCTTTCTTGGGCCCAATTAATATTTCCCGTCAGCTCATACTGTCCTGTGACTACACACTTCCGTTTTAACCAAAGGCAAAACAGTCCAGACAAATGCAGAACCTGTATGTGGCCTGCCAAATCTGGTCAACATTCAACTGGGTCTCTCTGCGTTACGGCCCTTTGCGTGACCTGACGATTGTGTTCAGACGGGATGCCCAATAATGTCTAAACACGAGGCGATGCAGAAGAACTGGCCCACTTCCAGCATCTACGGCCGCGCTGGGACCACCCCAGCGCCAGCCACATGCCTCATGCCGCAGCCATGAATGGCTTCCAGCCCGCGGGTGACCCTGACTCAGGACTCAGCCCCCTTCGCACACCTGCCCGGCAGACTCGGGTCGAGTCCAGGGAGCTGTCAATGGCAGACAGGGCCACGGGCCACGGGCCCCAGCCCGCCACGAACGGTCTCCCCCTGCTGCCCCCACCCCCCCGGATTCACGCCCCTCCGGCACCTGGCCACAGAGCCGGGGCCCCGGGCCCCGCTCTCCCCACGGCCCCTCCTGCTCCCACTCGCCAGCCCAGCGGGGGGCGAGGCCAGCCCAGGGGGCGGGGCCGGGGCCGGGGCCGGGGCCCGGGCGGGGGGGAGCCCCTTCGCCCCCGACACTCACCCAGCGCTCCCCTGGGAAGCAGCGCGAGCGCCAGCAGCGCCGAGAGACGCGGGATCCAGCCCGGCCGAAGCAGCTCCATGGCGCCGAGCAGCGCCGCACCCGGGCGCCGCGCCTCGCACTGCGCATGCGCCGAACCGAGCCCCCGCCGCCGCCGCCGCCTCGGGAGCGCGCTCGCGGGTCGCCGCGGCCGCCGCAGGGCAGGGGCCGGGCCGGGCCGAGAAAGGCGGCGGCCGCCCCGCCCGGGAAGCCCGCGGCCAGGCTCGCCCAGCGCGGCGCCGGTCCCCGGTCCCCGGTCCCCGCCCGGGGGAGGGAGGGAGGGAGGCCGCCAGCCAAGGCCTCGCTGCGCCACCGGTTTTCGCCCAGCTCCGCGGCTCCCCCCGTCGGCCCCGCTCTGGTGCGACCCAGCGGGGAGCGGGGACCCGGGCCGGGGACGGCTGAAGGCGCACAAGCCGGGGGGCAACAATGCCCCTGAGGGATTCGGGCCTGAGGGCTGCTCTTTGGGCGCTGCCAACTGCTGCGCTTCCCTACCCGAGCTTGTTTTCTCTGCCTGGCTGCATGCCCGGAAGGGGCTGCTCGCAGGCGGATTTCTCCCCGGGTTTGTGTCGCTGCTCAATGGCACAGGTCCCCCGCTTCAGACTAAAGGGCGAGTTAATTCTCCCCACACACACCCCCCCAGCCCCCTTAACCTGATGCTAATCATTGGCTGGGGGTGGGACGGGCCCCCTCTCAGTGGTAGGGTGACGGCTAGAGACGGGTCATCTGTTGGTTTGTCCTAGGAAAACTGTTCCACTCTCGCTTCCCGGTCGGACAAACAGGCTTTAAGAAAGACCAAAAGGGCCTTTAGTCCTCGGTCAAAAGCCCAGAGAGAGCAACGTCTGCTCCAAAAACAAGTTCATCTGTAGTTTCCTGCCCATGAAGTCATTTTCAAGTAACAGCCGTGTTAGTCTGTATTCGCAAAAAGAAAAGGAGTACTTGTGGCACCTTAGAGACTAACCAATTTATTTGAGCATGAGCTGAGCTGTAGCTCACGAAAGCTCATGCTCAAATAAATTGGTTAGTCTCTAAGGTGCCACAAGTCCTCCTTTCCTATTTTCAAGTAAGTGATCCAAGAAGAAAGAATTGCATACAGATTGTAGGCAGAGTTTCATCCCAGTCTGAAATGTTTAACTCCTCCTAGCTAGCTTCCTGGTAGGATAAACAGGCTTTAAGAAAGAACAAAAGGGCCTTTAGTCCTAGGCCAAAAGCAGAGCGAGACAGAGAGCAACGTTTGCTCCACTGAGTGATGCCACTTAAAAACTTGCCACTAAATGTTACATTTGATTTGTATGAGTCCCTAGACCCCACTGAGAGCGCATTGCCATAGGCCAGTGATACTCAGATTGAGGCTCTTGAGCTGCAAGTGGCTCTTGAATGCCTCTCTTGCAGCACATGAGAGGGAAACAATGCATGATGTTAAATAAGTAACCAATCAGGATGCTCTTACTAGATGAATGCATTGTAGTTGATAAAACAATAATAATACTTGGCCAGTTGTTTTGCTGTGCGAATAAAATGTGTCGATAGAAAACCGAAACCTTTCCTGTGGCCTACTGTAGTAAATAAAACCATTAATTTAACACTGTGGCTCTTTTGGATGATGGTGATTGCTAATTTGGCTCCTCAACTACTGAGGTCTCAGAGCAGCCATCCTAAGTACTGCTCTGAACACACAACCAGTCAGAGACAGTTTCCTATCTGTTTCTCTCCTTATCCTTACCCCCTGCTCCCCACTGCCCAACTCTACGCATGGCACTTAGTTTGAATTTGGGTGCAGTACCGTACAGCTATCCTACTGAAACCGCTCTTTTAGCTTCACTTATCGGAATGCTTGTCAACCACAGGGCTCTCTGGCTTGTTCCAAGCAGCTTCACAGTATTTTACCTGTGTCAGTTATTGAAAATGGGCTGAAAGATGGAGTGTCACACCCATTCAGGAAAGGAGCCGTGAGGCTTTTGCTCCTTCTTAAAAACTAATGCCACTGAGTTATATTAAAGTGTACGGTAGAATGCTCGTGTCAGAGCAGCTGAGCTGACTTATCTTCCCAGTTAACAGTGGGAAGCTGGAGAAAGACATGTGCATTGTAGTCTGTTCACCACAGGCTTGTCATTTGGGCCCTTTTCTGCACAAGTTAACCTAAATGCAAGACACCGCACATTGATCTCATCTTGGCAAACTGCTTTGCACTTAAAAATGACACACTTCACTAATGCTGACCCACAAACCAGCTTACTACTGTTACAAGATGATTGGGGGCGGGGGGGCAGGGAGGTATATGGAGCCAAAAGTCAAGAAGGTAAAAGGCTCTCCTCTGTAGAGGCTCTCACCCCGTGCCTCTTGCTGTTTCTCTGCACCACCTCTTAGGCTGCCAGCTCCTGGGCGAGGAGACCTGTTTTACTTGCCAAAAGCATTGCACAAACCTAGGGCAATGTCTAAACACCACAGGAACAGTAAGGTCTGAAATGAATCCAGGAGCTTGGATGCTCTTTAGCATCTGTAACAGTGCACATTCTTTGGAGCCCCTGCAGTAGCCTGCATTAAGCACAGAAAGAAAAGGCTGCATCCTCAAGGCCGCACCTTGAGTCCTGTGAAATCAATGGGAGTTCTGCCAGCAGCAACTCTACTGGGCCCAGAAGAGACTTATTCCTGAAAAGTTTGTCTAGTTTATGAAGTTATGCAGATAAGATCCCTCCCTCAAGCTTTCGTGAAGCCGTTCCACTTAAATTAAGTATTAATTGGGCCAAACTTAGAACAAGCGGCTTCTATGGGACATTTGGAGTTGCTGGTTCAATTGCTTCCTTTTCCCAAGGAGGAAAAGGGGATTGAACTGGGAGCTCCTTATGTCTTTCCTCTTGCCGCTGTTCCACGTCAATTAAATAGCGCCTGGGCCAAAGGAAAAGCAAGAAGCCTTCTACGCTACAGCGGTTAGGCTACTCCCTTGGGAAACTCAAGGTTGCTGGTTCAATGTTACTGCCTCCCTGAACAGGAGACAGGGACTGAACTGGGAGCTCCTTATGTCTTTCCTCTTGCCGCTGTTCCACGTCAATTAAATAGCGCTTGGGCCAAAGGCAAAGCAAGAAGCCCTCTACGCTACAGCGGTTAGGCTACTCCCCTGGGAAACTCAAGGTTGCTGGTTCAATACCACTGCCTCCCTGAAGAGGAGACAGGGACTCAATGGGGAACTCTTTAGGTTTTTTCCTCTTGCCGCTGTTCCACGCCAATTGAATAGCGACTGGGCCAAAGGCAAAGCAAGAAGCCCTCTACGCTACAGCGGTTAGGCTACTCCCCTGGGAAACTCAAGGTTGCTGGTTCAATACCACTGCCTCCCTGAAGAGGAGACAGGGAGCGAACTGGGAGCTCTTTTGGTCTTTCTTCTTGTCGCTGTTCCAAGTCAACTGAATAGTAATTGGGCCAAAGGAAAGGCAAGAAGCCCTCTACGCTACAGCGGTTAGGCTACTCCCCTGGGAAACTCAAGGTGGCTGGTTCAATACCAACACCTCCCTGAAGAGAAGACAGGGACTCAATGGGGAACTCTTTAGGTTTTTCCTCTTGCCGCTGTTCCACGCCAATTGAATAGCGACTGGGCCAAAGGCAAAGCAAGAAGCCCTCTACGCTACAGCGGTTAGGCTACTCCCCTGGGAAACTCAAGGAGGCTGGTTCAATACCAACACCTCCCTGAAGAGGAGACAGGGACTCAATGGGGAACTCTTTAGGTTTTTCCTCTTGCCGCTGTTCCACGCCAATTGAATAGCGACTGGGCCAAAGGCAAAGCAAGAAGCCCTCTACGCTACAGCGGTTAGGCTACTCCCCTGGGAAACTCAAGGTGGCTGGTTCAATACCAACACCTCCCTGAAGAGGAGACAGGGACTCAATTGGGAACCCTTTAGGTTTTTCCTCTTGCCGCTGTTCCACGCCAATTGAATAGCGACTGCGCCAAAGGCAAAGCAAGAAGCCCTCTACGCTACAGCGGTTAGGCTACTCCCCTGGGAAACGCAAGGTTGCTGGTTCAATACCACTGCCTCCCTGAAGAAGAGACAGGGAGCGAACTGGGAGCTCTTTTGGTCTTTCCTCTTGTCGCTGTTCCACGCCAATTGAATAGCGACTGGGCCAAAGGCAAAGCAAGAAGCCCTCTACGCTACAGCGGTTAGGCTACTCTCCTGGGAAACTCAAGGTTGCTGGTTCAAGTCTGTCCTCTACCAGATGAGGACAAGGACTTTAAGTGGGAGCTCCTTCTTTCTTGCCTCTTGAAGCTGTTCCACTTCAAGTCAATAGCAATTGGACCAGCAAGACCATTAGGATCACTCTGTAGCCCAGTGGGTAGGCTACTGACATAGAAAGTGGGAGACCCCAGTTCAAATCCTCCCTCGGCCTGTTAAGAAGAGGCTTGGACAAGGATGGATCACCTCCCAGGTGACAGGGCTGAGGGTGAGCGGCCCCTGTTTAAATTCCCTCCTTTCTCAGGAGGCCCTTGTCTTTCTGGAAACAGAGGAGGTCTAAACAATGATCCCCCACCTCTCAGGTTCCCTTGGGTGTGGGGGTCGGGGGGAGGTGTGTGGGGGGTTGGGTGGGGGGTCGGGGGGTGGGGTGGGTGGGGGGGTTGGGGGGTGGAGGTGGGGGGGAAAGAGGTCCCTGGGAGGTGGGACACCCCTGTTCAAATCCCTTTGCAGAGGAGGGGTTTGAACAGGGGTCTCCCACAGCCTGACCCATGGGGGGCAAAAGAGTGATCCGCATTTTTGGACCCCCAAGTCATAGCTAATTAAAAGAGGAGCCTACAGTGCCAGATGCCAAGGTCAACCCTCCCCCCCACGTCACGTGAAGGGTCTACACACTAGACTACAAGAGGGCTTCTCCTCCTTTCTTGGGCCCAATTAATATTTCCCGTCAGCTCATACTGTCCTGTGACTACACACTTCCGTTTTAACCAAAGGCAAAACAGTCCAGACAAATGCAGAACCTGTATGTGGCCTGCCAAATCTGGTCAACATTCAACTGGGTCTCTCTGCGTTACGGCCCTTTGCGTGACCTGACGATTGTGTTCAGACGGGATGCCCAATAATGTCTAAACACGAGGCGATGCAGAAGAACTGGCCCACTTCCAGCATCTACGGCCGCGCTGGGACCACCCCAGCGCCAGCCACATGCCTCATGCCGCAGCCATGAATGGCTTCCAGCCCGCGGGTGACCCTGACTCAGGACTCAGCCCCCTTCGCACACCTGCCCGGCAGACTCGGGTCGAGTCCAGGGAGCTGTCAATGGCAGACAGGGCCACGGGCCCCAGCCCGCCACGAACGGTCTCCCCCTGCTGCCCCCACCCCCCCGGATTCACGCCCCTCCGGCACCTGGCCACAGAGCCGGGGCCCCGGGCCCCGCTCTCCCCACGGCCCCTCCTGCTCCCACTCGCCAGCCCAGCGGGGGGCGAGGCCAGCCCAGGGGGCGGGGCCGGGGCCGGGGCCGGGGCCCGGGCGGGGGGAGCCCCCTTCGCCCCCGACACTCACCCAGCGCTCCCCTGGGAAGCAGCGCGAGCGCCAGCAGCGCCGAGAGACGCGGGATCCAGCCCGGCCGAAGCAGCTCCATGGCGCCGAGCAGCGCCGCACCCGGGCGCCGCGCCTCGCACTGCGCATGCGCCGAACCGAGCCCCCACCGCCGCCGCCGCCTCGGGAGCGCGCTCGCGGGTCGCCGCGGCCGCCGCAGGGCAGGGGCCGGGCCGGGCCGAGAAAGGCGGCGGCCGCCCCGCCCGGGAAGCCCGCGGCCAGGCTCGCCCAGCGCGGCGCCGGTCCCCGGTCCCCGGTCCCCGGTCCCCGCCCGGGGGAGGGAGGGAGGCCGCCAGCCAAGGCCTCGCTGCGCCACCGGTTTTCGCCCAGCTCCGCGGCTCCCCCCGTCGGCCCCGCTCTGGTGCGACCCAGCGGGGAGCGGGGACCCGGGCCGGGGACGGCTGAAGGCGCACAAGCCGGGGGGCAACAATGCCCCTGAGGGATTCGGGCCTGAGGGCTGCTCTTTGGGCGCTGCCAACTGCTGCGCTTCCCTACCCGAGCTTGTTTTCTCTGCCTGGCTGCATGCCCGGAAGGGGCTGCTCGCAGGCGGATTTCTCCCCGGGTTTGTGTCGCTGCTCAATGGCACAGGTCCCCCGCTTCAGACTAAAGGGCGAGTTAATTCTCCCCACACACACCCCCCCAGCCCCCTTAACCTGATGCTAATCATTGGCTGGGGGTGGGACGGGCCCCCTCTCAGTGGTAGGGTGACGGCTAGAGACGGGTCATCTGTTGGTTTGTCCTAGGAAAACTGTTCCACTCTCGCTTCCCGGTCGGACAAACAGGCTTTAAGAAAGACCAAAAGGGCCTTTAGTCCTCGGTCAAAAGCCCAGAGAGAGCAACGTCTGCTCCAATAATTGCTGCCACTGAACGTTACGCTAGATTTGTATGAGTCCCTAGACCCCATTGGAGAGCAGAGTCCCGTTCCTGTCGGCCAGCGATACTCCGATTGAGGCTTTTGAGCCACAAATGGTTCTTACCTGTGTCCTTTGCAGCTCTTTGTAGCAGAACCAATCAGGCTGCTCAGCGTGTTAGTAGTTGATCAAATGATTATAGTCATCAAATGGTCAGTCATCTTGCTGTGAGACTATTTAAAAACTAAATTTCTCCTGTTTTCCTGTTTAAATATGAATAGACAGTTTTATAGTAAATGAAACCATGAAGTCACAGTACTTGGCCTCTGTTGGATAAGGGTGATTGCTAATGTGGCTCCTCAGGCACTGAGGTCTGAGTATGCTGCTCTCAGCATTGAACATACCCCCAGTAAGTGACAGTTGCATATCTCTGTTTCTCTCTCTTTCCCTACCCTTAACTACCTCTTTTCCCCAGTGTCCCAACTTTAACCACAACATTTAGTTTGTGTTTGGCTGCAGTACAGTTACTCTATTGAAACCACTCTTTTAGTTGGACTTATCAGAATGCTTGTCAACCATACAGCTCTCTGGCTTGTTCCAGTCAGTTTTATAGTCTTCACTGCATCTGTTCCTGAAAATGGGCTGAAAGATGGTGCGTTACACCCATTCAGGAAACAAGTAATGAGGCTTTTGTTCCTTCTTAAAAGCTAATGCCACAAAGTTGCATATTAAAGCGTATATAGTAGAATGCTTGTCAGAGAAGCTCAGCTAAATTGCCTTCCCAGTTAACAGTGCAAAGGTGTGAAGCCAGATTAAAAAAAACCCCAAAAAAACAGATTAATGTGTGTACAGAACAGGCCTGTCCCTGTAGCTGTTTTCTCCACAATTGAACCTAAATGTATGTCACTGCATGGTTGTCTGATCTCTTCAAACCACTCTGCATTTACAATGATACTTTTCACCAATGCTGACCCACACTCCACCTTATACTGGTACAAGATATTGAAGAAAAATAGGGAGCCCATAGTCAAAGCAAAAATAAGTAGCCCAAGGCTTAAAGGCTCTTTTGTCTAGAGAGACTCACCCATGGCCTGATGACATTTCTATGCAGCATGTCTTAGTCTGGGAGCTCTTCAGTGTAGAGACCTCTTTAACATGCCAAAAGCATCTCACAACCCTAGGGTACTGTTTAAACACCCCAGGAAGAGGAAGTTCTGAAGGGAATCCAGATGCTTGGAAAATGTATGATGCCTTTTAGAGTCCTTAATTGTTGTTTGTATAAAGCAGTGCACATTCATTGGAGATCCTGCATTAAGCATAGCAAGAAAGGGCTGCACACTGAACGCCAAAGCTTGAGCCCAGAGAAATCAAGGGGAGTTTTGCCAGTTACTCCTCTGGGACCAGAATTTAGACTTAAATCTACTGTCTTTGGTTTCAACTGACAGTTTTGGGGGTTCATTTTTGAATCCTAAAAAGATGTCACTTAAGGCTTGCCTTTGTGAGGGAAATTGATTGGCACAGCTGTAGCTGAATAGCTTTTCGTATAATTCCCTTGTGGACACTCATTGTGGAAGAACACTCTTACTTTCAAAGTAACTAGTTTGAAATAAACAATTATTCTAGAATAAAGTCACTTTTATTCCAGGACACAGTGAGGGGGAGTTATACTGGAATACAAGTGTTCCAGAACAGTCATTCTGCTGTAGTTATGCTAGTCCATTTTCCCCAGGTCAAAAAGCTATTAGGCTACTTCCCACTATCTGACAACCCCACTATCATTGTTACAAGTCTTTCCCTAGTAGCACAAGAGGCCTGGTTTGTGAAACTGCCCATTCTTAATCCCTGGATCAAGGACACAACGAGTCATAACACCTTCTTTGTACTGCAGCTGGTGTTCACAAATGCCTCCAATTAATGTATAATTGAGGGATTTTACAGGGATGCAAGATCAGTCCCTTTACTGGGTTTAAGGGAGGCATTTACTTCTTCGTGTGCAGGTTCTTTTAATTGTAGTTCAGATTAGAAATTCAGGGTAGGAACCTCTGCCCAAAAATATGGCAAGGTCTCTGAAGATGGAGGCATCATCAGGATCTGCATCACAAAATGAGCAAGATTGATTTTAAAAATGTGTTGCTGTAAATTCACTCATCTCCTTTCTAAACAAATATTTTCTCTTTTAGAGCACATTATAATAAATTTCAGACATTTTATACACAGCTTTTGATTTAAAAGCAGTATTTAAAAAGTTTAATCTGTAGTTTCACGCCCATGAAGTCATTTTAAAGTAAGGGATCCAAGAAGAAAAAATTAAATATTGAAAGCAAAATTTCATCTGAGTTATTTTTAGAGGGGTTAAAAATTACAAGGGGTTGTAAAAGAAGTTGATTGTATCTCTACTATAAGGTGAAGAACATTAAGTGCTGTGTCTTTGAAGAGCAAGTAAAAGGAAAGAGATACAGGGTTGGCAGTCATGAAGCCCTTTTATAAAATCCAGCAACTCCTCAAAATTAAGGTTCCTTTCACACACAGCCTTCCGAAACTTTTCAAGAAGACCGCTGTGGCAGTTAATGAAGCATGCTCAGAAGGAAGTTCAGGGTTTTGTGCTTGCAATTTCTTATCAAGGCAGGCTCAGCAGCACTTGCGTCATCTCCTCTTCCTGGTGTTAGATTGCTTAGTCAACTGGTCAGAAACAAGAAGTTCCATGAAAGGGAAAGAAGGCCAGAGCATAATCTGAGGAGTGAGCATCCTTGATGCTGCAGGGTGGTTGTTCATCTCAGAAGTCTGCACGCAAGACGTTTTCGTGGACAAACAGCAGGAGGGCAGCCTAAAAGCTACAGTCTGGTGCTGTGTAAAGTTGAACTTCATGAACTAAACTGCTATAAGGATCTAAAGGAAGCAGCTGCATAACGTCGTCAGGTATATGCTGTGGCTTTGCGTTTTCCCCTAGAGAACTTCATTGCAAGAATGTAAATTACCCACAAAGAAGGTGAAGGAAATGCTTCCATGTTCTCCTCATGGTGTGCATTTTGCGTGGAGAAGTGGTTTCCTGCCTGCAGAAAGGGATACATCAATGTTAAAACAAAACTTGGTTCTTCTATGCTCCTGCCAATCTTTAGAAACATTTTATTGCAATTTTATTACTTTCACTTGGACAAAAAGTAATCTTTTTGAAATGTTTACATTTCCTGGGGAAAGATTGTCAGATCAGCCTACTTTTAAAAAAAAAATCTGTTTACATGTCAAAATAAATAGCACATTGTGAACTTGTTCATGTCAGACTGTATTTCATGCTGTATAATACACAATCATGAGGTAGTAGATATATTTGAAGTATAAAGGCAGGTAGCTGTTGGTGCCATTACGTTAAATGTCAGGATTCTGAAGACAGCTGGGATTCTGAAGCAAAAGTTGGTTTTCATTATGGACGGTGACAGCCACAGGACTACGTGCAGATTCAACGGTAAGCGGAGCAGCCACCACAACACACATTTAAGCAGACAGACCCAAAGAACTGTTTGAGCCTTATTCTAGTGTGGCTAGAAGTAAGTTGTATAGCAAGCAGATTTCCCCACAACTTTACAAACAAAACATGGTTTCTAAGGTGGGTAACATTTGACCCATGATTTCCATCTTCCTTTGTACTAGATGGAAACAGAATTAATGCAAGTAATGCTTCAGAACTGATTTTGTTGTACTACCTTCCAAAAAAGTGTTGTGACGTTGCAAATGTGATCTGCTCGTTTGCTACAAACAAAAGGTTAGCCAAACCAGAAGTGTCTGTGGTTACAACAGGTGCTGTTTTTATTCAAGAAACATAGGAGCAAGGAGACTGGGAGAAAAATAGTCATTTTCCATTCAACATACAGTGTCTTTGCATTAGAGCAGTAATACTCAGATCTCTGTGGTTCAGGAGCCAAATTAGCAATCATTACCCAAAGAAGCCACAATAGTAGAAAATTATTATTCTCACAGCAAACAAGTTAATAACTCAGTGCAAGCTGGTAATTTGTTAACATAGTAAAAGCATCCTGATTGGTCAATAATTTATGTGCTGCAAAGAACTACAGGAGACACATTAAAGAGCCACTTACAGCTCTCAAGCCTCAGTCTGGGTAACACTGCATTAGAATAAGTTAGAGCTGACATCATTCACCACAATTTTGACATTTTTATGTTGAAGAAAGTGATTTAAAATAAGCCCATACCTGCTATGGTGCAAATGAATTTTTTTGTTCAGTTATGTGGGCCAAAGGCATCCGGTACTTGCAGTTTTCATGTGTATAGTAATAGCTGAATGGTGAAGAGGAAAAATAAGTTACATTTTCAAAGGAAAACTCTAATTTAGTTTATTTTCAAAGGAGAGACTGGAAGTAAATTTATATTTAGCCTCAAAACTAATTTCAGAGTTTTATGGCTGCTGAAGTTTGGAAAGTTGATCTGAAGATATTTGAGATCTCACTGATACCATCAGAGGACACCAAGATTGATTAATTTACCAAGACGAAAGATGAGGAGGGTTCTTATATTAAAGTTGCCTGATTTAAGAGGGATGGTGTGAGGGGGGAGGGAAATCTTCATTTAAAGGTGATGTGCAAAATAGGAAAAAAATAGGGCTTATGCCACTTTAATACTGTTTTGTTACATAGCCAAGCAGGCTCAAGGGTTTTATTATTAGAAATGCAGTTATTGGCAACTAGAGAACTAATAAGGCTACGGTCGGACACTGCAAAAGACTAAACATAGAGCAAGTGAGAGAGTGGAAAGGATTTTGGACCAGACTGTTTAAGACCCTTTATTTACAACTATTTAAGTCCATTGTCTAACTGACAGTTTGGAGAAGGGAGGGAAAAGGTTTTTGTATTTTTTTTTTGTAATTTTTAAATACCTTCTACTGCTGCAATTAAAGTTTGAGGGCTCACAATATATGTTCTCAAAACTACTTCCATTCCTAGTCCCAGAAAACCTGAGAGAACCACATTACATCGCTGATATTTCAAAGATAAAAAAGCAGAAAAAAACCCCAAACTTTACATCCTTTCCCTCCCTCTCTTCAAACTTTAGTATATTACAGAGATGCCCCCCCCCCTCCAAAAAAAAAAACAAAAACCCAAAACCCTTTCAGATCTAAAGGGGAAAAATCCATCATGGGCCTTATTTCTTTGTATCATGCTAATATCCTGGTGACAGAAGAATGTTTTGGGTTTGTTTATTTTTGTAAAAATACATTATAATAATGCTTCTTCCAGAGCAAAGAGACGAGAAGGGAGAGAAGTTTTTACATATTATATAAAAAGATTGGTATGTGAAGAACACTAAACTATTACTACCTGCAGACTCACAAAATTACACTAGTGATTACCTGTTTCTTTTGTCCCATTGTTGCAAATGGAGATCATGAGTCATTTAATGAAATGTTTGGCCAGTATTAAACTGTGGAACCAAACAACAGTTCATACGTATTTGAAATGAATGGGAATTTAGAAAAATTCCTCACCCTGCATTCTGCTTAGACATAATCCTCGAGATAATGATGGTAACCAGGAGAAGCAGCAGTGCCCCACCTGCGATCCCTGAGAGACAAAAGGGAGAAAACTGAATCAGTCTCACAAATGGGCTTATGAAACACAGAAACAGTATTATTGGCCTTTGCAGATTTTTAATTAACTCTCAAAATCCCAAGCAAAGTTAAGAGGTCATGGCATTCCTCTATCTGTACCCACAAGGGTTTCTGAATCCTGAGTTATTGTCTGTGTTTACAAAGTTAACATTTCATACTGTATCCTTTTCAGATTTTGATCTTTAGGCAAAGTCATAACATTACTACATTCAAAAAGTTCACTGTGAATAAGACCACCTATTAGTATTTAAATATAATATGTGGATTCATAGTGGCACAAGCAAAAGGAGATTTACACCATGCACAAATGGGTCACGATTCACAACCCAGTATCTAAAACCGAGAGCACTTCAGACTGCTTGAAATGATGAGATCAGCTATGTTCCAGTATATGAAAAACCCAAGCTACTGCACCCCTGTGGCGTGTTAGTGTAGATGCTACCTATCCATTTGTGTACATAATTTACCTCCCCAAAAGGGCTAGCCAGGTCAACGGCAGAATTCTTCCATTGATCTTGTGCTGTCTATGCAGGGACATAGGTCAGCTTACCAACTCCATTCAGGTGTGGATTTTTCATACCCCTTACCAACACAGTGAAACTGAGCTAATTTTTTAGGCTAGTCCAGACCTGAGCCAGGTGCTCTAGAGAGGAAGCCCTGCAGCAGACTTGCAGAATGCCAACAAAGCGGACAAAAACCCAGCCCAAGTGGCTTTGGCGCATACTGTTTTTGGACATAAAACAGTTGCTGGGTTCTAGACAATGGAATCTCAAGCCTTAGGGAACTCCACCAGGAAGTGAGGTTTTTAAAGAGTCTGATTATGGAGGTACTGTACTTTTCCTGGTTCACATGCAGTCTTATGGAGAAGCAAAGGTTTGAAAGCTGGGAAACTGACTCTATAACAGGTTTCAGAGTAGCAGCTGTGTGAGTCTGTATCCGCAAAAAGAAAAGGAGGATTTGTGACACCTTAGAGACTAACAAATTTATTTGAGCATAAGCTTTCATGAGCTACAGCTCACTTCATCGGTGCATTCAGTGGAAAATACAGAGGGGAGATTTATATACACAGAGAACATGAAACAATGGGTGTTACCATAAAGAAGGTTTAGAAACAATGGGCCAGATGTTCAACTAGGGTAAATCAGCATAGGTCCACTGAAGTCAGCTGTGAATCTGACCCCAGGTCTTTTTAGTAAACTACTTACCGAGGACTACTGAGATGAAGTTATAGGAACCTAGAATTGGGGGTAGAGAGGGGGAAAAAAAATTGAACTACTGTAATATGAAATGAATCACAGCCACATGATTTCTTCAAAAATATTTATCCAAACATTTTCTGTATCAGGCATGTTACAGATTTTATTGGTGAGAGCTAGAAAGCAAAATTTATTAAAAGTCCTCCCCATATTGCCAGCTATATAGAAAGGCCCTTGCAACTTTTAAAGGGAGATAAACCACTGTAACCCAATCGCCTCCTCCAGCACAGGAGAAAGCTCAGCACTGTATTGACTGGCTGAGCAAGAAAGAAGCTCTTTCCGTTTACCTGCTAAATCAACCATATATCAACTGTGAGGGTCTTGGGTAGGGTAACCAGATGTCCTGATTTTTGGGTCTTTTTCTTATACAGGCTTCTATTACCCCCTACCCCCTGTCGCGATGTTTCACATTTGCTGTTTGGTCACCCGAGTCTCGGGAGCATGTCACACACGCAGTGAGTTAAGCTGGAAGGACAAAGCTGTTGCTTAGAGAACTGCCTTTTACTGATAGGGGGAAATATTTTAAGTAGAGAATAAGACATATTTTGAAAACTCCAACCTAAATGCAGTGAGTTTTACACAGAATAACATAACAAAAGCCATGGTTGTAACACTGATTGGTGGTATCTACACAGTCAAAAAACTCAAACCATATTAGGATATCATATTACATTTTAGACAGGCCTCAAGTTGAGAGAGTTTTATTTTTACCTTCCCATATTTAGGGCCTGTCTACACACAAAAATCATACTGGTTTAAGTTAAATCAGACTTTAAATCAATTTAGGTAACTGGGGGCAAGCCCCTGTGTAGGCATGCTTTTATCTATTTGAAAATTCTTATCTTAGTTGAGCTTGCATTCATAATTTATAGGTGCAGACTACAATGATATAAGCCAGGTTGGAATTGCTTTGAGTGCTCACACACAAAGTTGCAATAGTATGATTAAATCTGCTTTAAAAAAAAAGCACCTTTAGTTAAGCCCTTGCAACTGTGTGTGGGGATCAGGAATTAGAAACAACTAATGCAGATATGTTCAGGAGACATATACACATTGAGTTTATTTTGTGTAACTGTGTAGCTTTGTTCAAATAAAAATTTGAAAACAATCTCTTTTCCCTCCCAGATAGGTATTGTCTACACAGCCCAGGATACATTTTATCTTGTCTGCACACAAACTTGCACTGGTTTAACTAAATTGGGTTTAAAAAAAGACCTGTCAAGCATTGGAAATCTCTATGTAAAGCAGGCCTCAAAATAGACAGGGGGTTTGTGTTGCAGATTCTGCAAAGGGCAAATCTTATTTCAACCTCTATTGTCATTTGACCACTAGGTGGAAACCTAACACAGGGCATGAATTTTTCCCATTTATTCTATACATACTGGATCTACAGACTGGTACAGGTTTCAGAGTAGCAGCTGTGTTAGTCTGTATCCACAAAAAGAAAAGGAGGACTTGTGGCACCTTAGAGACGAACAAATTTATCTGAGCGTAAGCTTTCGTGAGCTACAGCTCACTTCATCGGATGCATTCAGTGGAAAATACCACTGAATGCATCCGATGAAGTGAGCTGTAGCTCACGAAAGCTTACGCTCAAATAAATTTGTTAGTCTCTAAGGTGCCACAAGTCCTCCTTTTCTTGAGACTGGTACAGGAGGATCCCAGGTAAAGTCATGTTGGCACTGTATCAGACTGCTGCCTTCCAGCACATAACCGTTGTCACATTCCAGAGTAACATTAGTTCCAAATTGATATGTACTACTACCCGTTACTGCCTTCTTACTACCTTGAACTTCTGGGAATGCACATCTGATCTCTGAAATAAAGGTTAGCAAAAACAATATTTCAAGACGAGGAAGAAAGTAAGTTACAGAAGATGTGATTGCAATTTTTTTAGGTGTAATCAGGGCCATCGCTAGGGGGTGTGGGACTGACCCCACCAGGCCAAATGCACCAGTCTGTGGGGCCCCCAAAGGACGGGGCCCTAAGCGATCGCCCCAATTCACCATACCCAAGGCACGGCTCTGGGTGTAGTTATATTCACTTATGAAGGTGACAAGAACAAACATGTAATCCTACTACTGTACCAAGGTGTAATTTGCTGCCTTGTCGCTGGAGGAATGCAGACATACAGAGCAAAATCCTAGCCCACTGAAGTCAGTGGGAGTTTTACCAGGATTTCAACTCATAGTCTGTTTCAGTCTTTAGTTTTTATGCACTCTCTCAGTACTGCATTGAAGAGCACAACACAGCAGGAGAATGACTTCAGGCTCTTCAAGGCAGGCAACTGCCATTTTATTTTTAGTTGGTTTGCGGGGCAAAAACACATTAAGTCATTTCTGTCCTTACCGTTTTGTAGAACAGCACAAGCATGATAGGACAAAATCAGAAAGGCTAAGGAACAAAATGGATTACACATGGCAAGGGACATAAAAGGAAATAAGAAGAGGTTCTTTAAATACATTAGGAGCAAGGAGAAAGACAATGGAAATTGTAGGTCATCTACACAGTGGGGAAGGAGAACTAATTGATGACATCAAGAAGGTTCAGGTGTTTAATGCCTATTTTGCTTCAGTCTTCACTAAAAAAGTTAATGGTGACCAGATACTCAACATAATATTTACAAGAAGGAGGAAGGAACACAAGTCAAAACAGGGAAAGAACAGGATAAAGAATATTTGGATACGTTACATGTATTCAAGTCAGCAAGGCTTGATGAAATTCATCCTAGCGTAATTAAGGAAGTAGCAGAAGCACTCTCAGAAATATTAGCAACTATAGTCAAGAAGTCATGGAGGATGGGTGAGGTCCCAGAGGGCTGGAAGAAGGGCAAACACAGTACCTGTCTTCAAAAGGGGGAACAAAGAGGACCCTGGGAATTATACACCAATCAGCCTAACGTCAATATCTGGAAAAGATACTGAATATTAAAAAAATATATAATTACCTAGAGAATAACAAGATAAGGAATAGCCAGCATGGATTTGTCAAGAACAAATCATGCCAACCAATCTAATTTCCTTCTTTAACAGGGTTACTGGCCTAGTAGATAGGTGGGAAGAAGTAAACGTGATGTATCTTGATTTTCTTGATTTTAGTAAGGATAGAACCTAGATTCTCTCTTACCCTGTGTGCAGGCTGGAACAGGAGGATCCCATGTTCCATCATCTTGGCACTGAATCTGATGGCTGGCGTTCAGGGTGTAGCCAGGATCACATTCAAACCTAACCGTGTCCCTGGGTCTGTAGACAGGTCTATGTCCAGGTACTTTTCTTCCATTCTGGATTTCTGGGGCAATGCAGAGAACCTCTGAAATTGAAAAGGTGCAGAAGGTGTCAGCCTGCCCGGCAAGCAGTGCTGTTCAGTGGGTGCTTGGCACCTGTGTTCTGCACTGGCTGCCTACCAGTTTCTGGGGAGAGTTTATGGTGTTGCTTTTAACCTCTCCACTGCAAACACTATCGTGCAAGCCTGCCTAAAACCACATCCCACGGGGTTCCATACTGCTCCTCTTGTGGTGAATAGAGTCCCCAGAGTGATCCCTCTCAGTGACAGAGAGATCAGGGCTGGCAGGAGAGCTTCCTGTGAGGGACCCTCAATTTGGAGCCTACTCCTTGTGCTTGCTGTTAGACAGTACAGGCTGTTGGCCTTTAGGGGACACACTGCAAATCTTTCCTGTTCACTCAGTGTGTAGCAGGGGTAGAGATTGGAGGCAGAGGTTTGTGTGTCTGCCTGTGTGTGTGAGGGGAGCGAGAATATTAGTTTCTAGTTTTTGTAATTCATGTAAAGTGTGGTAAGGGTTTCAGACAGATGCTTTTAAAAATATTTTCCTCGTGAGTATATATCTGTGCATACGCACGTAGGAGTACGGAGTGTGCATACAATGCCTTTATTTTCAAAAGCATTTATTTCATCTTGAGTCTAATTAAATGGAGCTTTAATTCCCTGCTATTAATTCTGTTTCACTGGTGAGCTTGTCTTTCGAGTTAAAACCTGTTGTATGAGCTTCTTCCTCTTAGTTCTAGGTAACGGAAAATAAATGCACCTTCACACTGAGGAGGGGGAGGGCTCCATGTTCCAGATGCCGCACAATAAATTGATGCCTGCCCATTAAGAGAATAGCCGGGCTCACAGCTGTAATTTACAGACGTTCCAGTGGTGAACACTGCCAAGGCCTGGACGCTGGGCTTCCCATTGGTGATGGCTGGAGGAAAGGAACACTGCAGCACTATAGGGAGGAAAGAGAGTCTTAACTGAACCAGAGCTCTTGCAGGCTAAATTTATAGGAGGGAAAAGATCCACATGCTCATTTTGAGTTGTACCCAACACGACAGCAGTGACCCTAACGCACACCGGGGTAAAGCTACCTATTCTCCATTCCCTCGACCTCATTCACATCCCCCCATATATCTATGGAGCGCGATGACTCAGTCATGCTTCTTGACACCCACAGACATGTTCTCAGCCATCTTAGTAAGGCTCCAACAGTTATTTCCACTGTTTATTTTGTGTTTACATTGGGAATTCTGCCACTTTGGAACCATTCATTGGTTGGATGGCTAGTTGGGTGGGGCCTTCTCTAAGTTCCCTTAACTTGGGAGGGAGGTTAAGTGGGAGAACCTGGCCAGGACTCAGTTCTTCAGGGATCTTTTCGGAGAGTGGAAAAGCCCAGATACTTTGGAGAGGAGCATGGGAAACACTGGGATAGCGACACAGATATTTGCATTTCCCTTTTCAGATCTCAAACTAATCCCACAGTCCTTTTGGACTTCCGGCTCAGCCCTGCCAGATCTGACTCATCACATCAGGATCAAAGATGATCAACCTCAAAGCCTTAGTCACACTTACATCTTTCACAGACAGGGACAGGAGGATCCCATCTACCGTCATCTTGGCACTGAGTCTCAGGGCTGCCGTTCATGGTGTAACCAGGGTCGCATTCAAACACAACCATGTCGCTGGGTCTGTAGGCAGGCTGTACCCCATTTGTTCTTCCATTCTCCACTTCTGGGCTTACGCATGTTGCTGAAAGGGAAAGCATAACAAACCCTTTAGACTCTAACGCACTTGTGGGATGGAATAGGCAGTTTACCCACTGAGACATTTCCTTTGACAAGTCTTTTACTTCACTTTCATAAGTATTTCTACATTCTCACATCCTCTGTAGCAATTCTTTCAGCATGAACATTACCCAGCTGCACTCATAGAACCATTCACCACTCGTACAAGTGGATGCAATGCCACTGAACTTAAAGGAGCTCCTCTTGCCAACAGTGACTTTGGCCCATGTCTCTCATTGGAAGTTTAGTTTCCAGCTGTGGAATTTGCTGAATTGGTGGCTTGTCTCAAAGTTCTTGTGGTGTCTATTTAAATCCTTTTGCGTGTCTGACGCACCAAGTGAGAAAAAGGGAAGCAGCAAAAAGAACAGAAACGCACCTTCACATTGAGTGTGGGGGTTGCTCCAAGGTCCAGACGCCGTACAATGAAGTGATGCCTCCCCAAGAAGGGAGTAGTCAGGATCACAACGGTAATTTACAAACATCCACCACCCAGAAAAAATATCGGGCTCCTTTAAGCATCTCAGTTGGACAACCAAAATCCACTGGACAATTTAGGTTCACTATTTAGTGTCTTACATTGCAAGACCTAACGGCCGATTGCTTTTCTGAATCTTTTACTCATTTGTAACACTCTCATCCCCACCCCATTATAGAAAAGAGCTTGACTGAAAGACCAGTGTGAGGGGGAAAATCAGAAGTTAGTTCATGATTATTCCACGTGCAGGAACTAGAGGCCATATTCCACCTCCAAAGGAAGAGTGAAAAGCGTGTGTAGTTACTGGAATTTTATCATAATTGATAAAAATAGTGAAATTCAGCAGAGGAAGCAGAAGTACCACCCACAAAAGCTGCGGTGGACCAAGAAGTTATTGAATATCATCTTCTAAATCACTTCCAGTTCCCATTTCAAGATGGACAGACATGAGGATTCTGAGCAGAAGAAGATAAAAGTGCTCTGCTTTCACCTTTATGGTACAGTAATTCCCCTCAGCAGACCCATGGCTCTTGCCAACTTGGGTCACTTCTCACAGCTGGTGCAGCTGGAGGAATCCTGACCCCCAAATGCATTGTGGGAAAGCACAAGCTTTGCAATAAAACAGAAGGGACAAAATTACTCATCCCCACTGCTCTCAGAGCCCTGCCCACAACCTGGTTCATTTCTTATCCTCTACGACTGTTCCTAACAACTGGGACCGTCCACCTCTCCCCTCAAACCAGTCTGTAAAGTCTCTGGATTTGAGGTGAGCAGCAGGCAGGACAGATTCAGACGGGGTTAGTGCTGGAGGTTCTCACGGATCAGTCAGAAGGGAAACCTGTTTCTAGATGCATAATACAAACAAATCAGAGTTTTGACACTTGCCTAGGTCACAGACTGGCAGAGGTGGATCCCACGTGTCATCAGTTTGGCACTGACTCAGACTGTGACCCTTCATGGTGTAGCCGGGATCGCACTCAAAGGTAACACTGTCATTATATAAATAGACATGTCTATCACCAGATACTCTTCTTCCATTCTGGATTTGTGGGGCTGGGCATCTAACCTCTGAAAAAGAAATGCTTTAGCTGAAACACAGGGCCAGAGAGGAAGAAAAACATCTCCGCAGCCTAGACAGCTCTCAAGCCTTTTTTAGGCTCTCAGCATTTTCCCTGTAACTTGTTGCACGAACCAATATTATTCCGACTTGAAACTGCAGATTGTTGTGGGAAATGTGGAGGGCCACCCTGTGAGGAGGAGATGGAGATACACTGGTAACAGCGTAGGCCCCTTCATGGCAACCTTGCAAGGGTTCTCTCCTCAAGCATTGTCCTGTGTACAATTCTCGTCATGCCTATAACCCTGAGAGGCTCTTGTGGTTAAAGTCCTGGCTCGGGATTTGGAGATCTGGATTAAATTTTTGGCTGTGCCACTGACCAACTTCATATATCACCCGGATAACTCACTAATCTCTGTGCCTCATTTCTCCCACTGTAAAGTGGAGATTATAATTCTTCCCTCCCTCTTAATTAACATTTGTGAGGCAAGCAGAAAAGAGAGAAAAGGGCACGTAACCACATGGACAGACAGTTGTGACCTACTTACGCTCACAAATGGGATCACCACCACTCCATGCAACATGCATGCCAGAAATCTCACATCGTCTGTAAGGCTGTCCAATCAACCGGTGCCTGGAGTTAGGCAAAGGGGGTTATCAGTTCTTACCTATTCCTTTGGTATATGAGTTCTCCTGTGAAGCTCAATTATTTGTGAAGCTCTTCTCCCCAGCCACAGCAGGTGGGGACCAACACCACTGACTACTGAGTGATGATCATAACAGAAAAGGCTCCTTGCCAACTCAGAACTCCCCAGCCCTCTGTAGAATTAAACCACAGAACAGAATCCAGTGTAGGCCCAATGAGCTGGCATTCTTTGAGCCAGGGGATCCAAATGTCCTTCCTGTGCCCCCAAGTCCTACTTACCACATCAGCAGAATCATTCTCCTCCATTGAATCACAAGCCATATGCAAACAAGTAACAACATTTTCTCCCAGCACTTTCTGGCAGGTTGCTGGCGGAGGGGTATTATTATGCCTGATCGAGAGGGGTTTTGATTTTCTCACAACCGATGAGATAAGTTTTTGAGGGAGTGGGCCAGGCAGACCCAGCTGGGGTCTGGCTAGCTTGAGATATTTAAATTAAGTCAATCAAGACTGTTGTAATGCATGCAGGAGTAACACCCCACCCCAGCAGAGAGGTCCAAAACACAGATGCTATACAGCAAACCTCAGCTGAGCTGGCTCTGGAGTTCAGCAGCCAGTTGTTGTTAAAGGCAGTGTCAGTGAAATGAGACTTTCTGTGGTCACAGGTTCTTCCCTTTCGCCCCCACATAGGACATGCTCTACAAGTGCACAAGCCAGCACTACAGCTGCAGACCTTTATTTCTCAGACCCCTGAAGCACAGTCCTCATCTTCAAATGGAGAGGGCACGTGACGTCCTCTTCTGCTACCTTATCCCCAGCGCTCTCACTCAGGCACCTTCCCCAGCAGGGTTTCCCTTTGGAGACACCGCATCAGTCTGGCAGGTGGGCAGTTAGTCAGTGATAACCCTTCCACCCAACTCCGTATGGGAAAACAGCCAGATCCAATTATTCAGAAGAAGAACTGTTCCCATGTCAAAGCAAGGGTAAAATCCAAGAGATTCCAAGGTTTGCCCTGGTCACTTGGATCCTACTCTCCACAGGAGACATCTGTGCTCAGCCAGCACCTGCAGGCAGAGCATTCAGCTGGCCAAATTGCAACTAAAGTTTCTACAATAAATGACAGAGCATGAATGAAGAAAAGAGGGAGACTTATTCCAATCCGTCTTTCCTCGCATATAAAAATTATATTGATTGAGCTAAGAAGATGGAGGGCTGCTTTCGTACGGAAGAGTAAACTGCTTTCAGGAGTTGGGGGAATATGAGGATATCCATTTGTGTTCCACAGCTGTAAGTGAAGCACAAGTAGTTAGCTCAGGCAATCTGAAACTTACCCTTCTTCACATGTGAAGTAGACGGTTGACCCAAAATGGGTACCTGTTACAATAACTCTGCCGTTCTCCGGCTCTCCTGGATGACCACACGATTTCTCTGGTGGAGAACAAGGCTAGGATTAGGGTGCTCTCTTTCAATGAAACAATGATCCCAGGGATCTGTCAATATTTAACACACTCCACAAAGAAGACATTTAGAAGGCTTAGAACAGGCACAGCTAGAGAGAACTTTACGAATGACTATTAACTATTTAAAGGCACATTAGTTGTGTCCACGCTGCAAAATGTTAAGGCCATTAAGACCTTTACTGAACCATGGAAACAAAATTCATAATGATATTCACTTTTACAGAACTTGAGTGCTTCTGACCATGTTCGATTTTCAAGGCATGTAAGAGTGGATTGCATATGCGGGTGTCTACTGTATCCAGGCCGGCAAGTATAGTTTATAGTCTTCCCAACAGGAAAGGAAGACTGATTTTTATACTCGCTCTTCAACTCAGCAAAGCTTAACCTCGTTGGGACATCACAGCCATCTAGCAAGAAAGGAAACACACATGAGAAAAAAGAACCGTATCCAGTCTGCTGGTATGTACCACGTCAGGTGCAGGTAGATACAACAACAGTGTTACAAAGAAATGACTACAGATCTGCTTTATAAATATTCTTCCAGGTGTTACACTAGGATTGAAGCCGAGGGAAAGAGAACGTTCAGACAAAGTGCTAATGCAACAAAATCCATAGCTGGAGACCGAATCTCAAATAACACACACACAGGGCCAAACTTACCACTGGCACAAGAATCTCTATTTCCGAATCAACTAAAACAACATATGCACCTGCCCTGTTTACCTCTGGTCCTAAAATCCATCCTTGGGCTGCCCTACTCCCAGGATGCTAAAATGTGCCATTTTTCAGAAGTACTGTCAGTGAAAAACTAAAGTATCCCAATCGTGGCTTCTGGCCTGAAAGAATAGGACTCTATAGGTTCAGTAATGCCCAACGGAATTAATATCCGCCTAGAGAATCATCTGTTAAGCCCTTCACAAACTGATACGACATCCCATTGACGCAAGACACTTCAGTTCTCTCTTACTCTCATTGAGCAGCTGAGGCTGAGCTTCTTGTGCCGGCAGAGATTATAGCCCTGTGTGTGTCCCTGGGGATCTGTTCCCAGCTGTGAATTTTGTTGCATTAGGTTGTGTGTCTGAACATTCTTTCTCTCTCTATCCATCCTGTTGGGTTACTGACAAAAGGAAGAAGCCAACCGAAAATCCATTCACCTTCACATAGAGGAGAAGGGTGGCTCCAAGTTCCAGATGTGGTACAATAGATCGAAGCCTCTCCACGGAGGGCGTAGCCAGGTTCACAGCTGTAATTCACATATGTTCCACTGGGGAAAGCTGCCAAAGGCTTGGCATTGTGCTTCCCTTTGACGATGACCGGAGGTGGGGGACACAGCAACACTAAAGGGGGGAGAGGGGATGAAGAATATTTCAGGGAAAAAAATCTGAACCCTGTTCAAGAAGAGCATAAAATAGGCTGGTCTCCAGGAGGGGGAAAAGCCCAGGATGCCTGTGTTGTGTCAAACCCTGCATCGCACCGGTGATGCAACACATCCAAAAAAGATTAAATATCACCGACCTCGATTCCCCTTCACCCCGGAACTCAGATTTTCCCAATCTGCTCCTTTTTGGTCCCTAGAAATTGCCCTTCCCTCCCTTAAGAATCCAAAATATAATTTGTGGAGAGTGGGACGAGTTCTGCTGATTTGTGTTTCCATTCACAGCTTTAGGATGCTCAGTGAGACAGACCATTGCCAGATCTCTCCCTGTCAGGAGGGCAGGGCAGGGCAGGATGCAGGGGATCAGCTATTACAGGGACGAGCACACTCAAGAAATTAGGGGGTGGAAAAATATTTGTATGTTCCCCATTCACAGCTGAAAAGTGACCCCTGGATTCAAAGGACGTTTATTTTTTTGCGTCCAGGCACATCCCTACCAGATGTTGATCATCTCAGTTACTCAGGAGACAACATTGATTCACACTTACCTTGTGTGCAGGCTGGAACAGGAGAATCCCAGTTTCCGTCATCTTGGCACTGAATCAGACGGCTGCCGCTTAGGGTGTAGCCAGGATCACATTCAAACCTAACCGTGTCCCTGGGTCTGTAGACAGCTCCACGTCCAGCTACTTTTCTTCCATTCTGGATTTCTGGGGCGATGCAGAGAACCTCTGAAATTGAAAAGCCACAGAAGGCATCAGCATGCACTGGCATGCACTGCTGTTCAGTGAGCGCTTCACACCTGTGCTCTGGACTCTCTAGGAAGAGTTTATGGTGTTGCTTTTAACCTCTAAAATGCAAACAGTATCGCGCAAGCCTGCCTAAAACCACATCCCATGAGGAACCGTACTGCTCCTCTCATGGTGAATAGAGTCCCCAGAGTGATCCCTCTCAGTGACAGAGAGAGCAGGGCTGGTGGGAGAGCTCCCCGTGAGGGACCCTCATTTTGGCACCATGGTCTTTAACAATACTGGCCTGTTCGCCTTTGGGGGACACACTTTCCCCTTTACTCGCGTGTAACGAGGCAAGAGTGGGGATCGCGTGCCTGTCTGTGAGTGTGAGGGGAGTGTGGAGATTAGTTGCTAGTGTTTCTAATTTATGTCAAGGCTGCTGTAGTTTCAGACAGCTGCAGCTTTTAATGTTTCACTAATGTGTATGTGTGCACAGGAGTGCAGAGTTTGCATTCGGCACATTTATTTTCAAAAGCATTTATTTCACCCTGTGTCTAATTATATAGAGTTTTAATTCCTTGCTGTTAAATTTGTTGCACTTGTGACCTTGTCTTTTGAGTTAAATCCTGTGGTAGGAGCTTCTTCCTCTTAGTTCTTTTTGGAGAATGGAAAAGCCCAGATACGATGGAGAGGAACACAGGGAACACTGGGATAACTACACAGATATTTGCATTTCCCTTTTCAGATCTGAAATTAATCCCACAGTCCTTTTGGCCTCCCGACTCAGCCCTGCCAGATCTAACTCATCACAATGGGATCAAAGCCTTAGTCATACTTACTTCTTTCACAGGTGGGGACAGGAGGATCCCATCTACCATCATCTTGGCACTGCGTCTCAGGGCTGCCACTCAAGGTGTAACCAGCGTCGCATTCAAACACAACCATGTCTCTGGGTCTGTAGGCACGCTGTACCCCATTTGTTCTTCCATGCTCCACTTCTGGGCTTACGCATGTTGCTGAAAGGGAAAGCATAACAAACCCTTTAGACTCTAACGCAGGCGTGGGATGGAATGGACTGAACCATTTTTTCCTCTGGCAAGTCTTTTACTGTAGTTCAATTTCATAACTATTTCTATACTATCACATCCTGTTGTCGCTTTTATCAATTCTTTCAGCATGAACATTACTGAGCTGCACTCGCAGAATCCATCAGCACCGTTCCAAGTGGATGCAATGCCACTGAACTTAAAGGAGCTCCTCTTGCCAGCAGTGACATTGGCCTGTGTGTTTCACTGGAGGTTTAGTCCATAGCTGTGAAATTTGCTGCATTGGTGGCTTGTCTCAAAGTTCTCATGGTCTCAATTTAAACCCTCGTGTGTGTCTGACACACCAAGCGAGGCAAAGGGAAGCAGCTAACAAAACAGAAACGCGCCTTCACATTGAGGGAGGAGGCAGTTCCAAGCTGCAGACACTGTGCAATGAAGTTATGTCTCCCCAAAAAGGGAGGAGCCAGGATCACAACGGTAATTTAAAGACACTCATCACACACACACACACACACACACAAAATCAGGCTACTTTAAACATCTTATTTTGGTCAACCAAAACTCACTGGACAATATAGGCTCACTATTCAGTGCGTTACATTGCAAGTACTTAATGCCTGTTGTTTTTTATGAATCTTTAACTCATTTGTAACAATCTTGTCCCCAACACATTATAGAAAAGAGCTTGACTGAAATACCAGTGTGAGGGGGAAAAACAAAAAAATGGTTCCATGATGATTCAGCGTACAGGAACTAGAGGGTCATATTCCACCTTCATAAAAACATAAGAACGGCCATACTGGGTCAGACCAAAGGTCCATCCAGACCAGTATCCTGTCTACCGACAGTGGCCAATGCCAAGGTCACTCACTCCGGGGCACCTAACAGGTAATGATCAAGTGATCTCTCTCCTGCCATCCATCACCCGCCTCTGACAAACAGAGGCTAGGGACACTGTTCCTTACCAATCCTGGCTAATAGCCATTAACTGACTTTACCTCCATGAATTTATCCAGTTCTCTTTTAAACCCCGTTATAGTCCTAGCCTTCACAACCTCCTCAGGCAAGGAGTTCCACAGGTTGACTGTGCGCTGTGTGAAGAAGAACTTCCTTTTATTTGTTTTAAACCTGCTGTACATTAATTTCATTTGGTGGCCCCTACTTCTTGTATTATGGGAACAAGTAAATAACTTTTCCTTATTCACTTTCTCCACACCACACATAATTTTATAGACCTCTATCATATCCCCCCTTAGTCTCCTCTTTTCCAAGCTGAAAAGTCCTAGCCTCTTTAATCTCTCCTCATATGGGACCCATTCCAAACCCCTAATCATTTTAGTTGCCCTTCGCCGTCTTATTCTATCCCTTTTTTAATGATTGCTAACATCCCGTTTCCTTTTTTGACTGCCGCTGCACACTGCATGGATGTCTTCAGAGAACTATCCAGGATGACTCCAAGATCTTTTTCCTGATGAGTTGTAGCTAAATTAGCCCCCATCATATTGTATGTATACTTGGGGTTATTTTTTCCAGTGTGCATTACTTTACATTTATCCACATGAAATTTCATTTGCCATTTTGTTGCCCAATCACTTAGCTTTGTGAGATCTTTTTGAAGTTCTTCACAGTCTGCTTTGGTCTTAACTATCTTAAGCAGTTTTGTATCATCTGCAAACTTTGCCACCCCCCTGTTTACCCCTTCCTCCAGACCATTTATGAATAAGTTGAATAGGATTGGTCCCAGGACTGACCCTTGGGGAACACCACTAGTTACCCCTCTCCATTCTGAAAATTTACCATTTATTCCTACCCTTTGTTCCATGTCTTTTAACCAGTTCTCAATCCATGGAAGGATCTTCCCTCTTATCCCATGGCAACTTAATTTACATAAGAGCCTTTGGTGAGGGACCTTGTCAAAGGCTTTCTGGAAATCTAAGGACAATCTAAGTACATTCAAAGGAAGAGTATAAAGCATCTGTCGTTACTGGAAGGACCGCTCATAATTGATAAAAATAGTGAAATTCAGCAAAGGAAGCAGAAGTACCCGCAAAAGCTGCGGTGGACCAAGAAGTTATTGAATATCATCTTCTAAATCACTTCCAGTTCCCATTTCAAGATGGGACAGACATGAGGATCCTGAGCAGAGGAAGATAAAAGTGCTCTGCTTTCAACTTTAAGTTACTGAAATTCCCCTCAGCAGGTCCCTTCTTGCCAACCTCGGTCACTTTCCGCAGCTGCTGCAGTGTGAGGAATCCTGACCCCCAAATGCATTGTGGGAAAGCAAATCCAAATATAATTTGTGGAGAGCGGGATGAGTTCTGCTGATTTGTGTTTCCATTCACAGCTTTAGGATGCTCAATGAGACAGACCACTGCCAGATGCAGAGGATCAGCTATCACAGGGACGAGCACACTCAAGAGATTAGGGGGTGGGTGAATATTTGTATGTTCCCCATTCACAGCTGAAAAGTGACCCCTGGATTCAAAGGACGTTAGCTTTTTTTGCGTCCAGGCACATCCCTACCAGATGTTGATCGTCTCAGTTACCCTGCAGTCAACCTTGATTCACACTCACTCTGTGTGCAGGCTGGAACAGGAGGATCCCAGATTCCTTCATCTCGGCATTGAATCTGACGGCTGCCGTTCAGGGTGTAACCAGGATCACATTCAAACCTAACCGTGTCCCTGGGTCTGTAGACAGGTCCATGTCCAGCTACTTTTCTTCCATTCTGGATTGCTGGGGCGATGCAGAGAACCTCTGAAATTGAAAAGGCGCAGAAGGCGTCAGCCTGCCCGGCAAGCAGTGCTGTTCAGTGGGCCCTTGGTGCCTGTGCTCTGCACTGACTCCCTACCAGTTTCTGGGAAGAGTTTATGGTGTTGCTTTTAACCTCTCCACTGCAAACACTATCATGCAAGCTTGCCTAAAACCACATCCCACAGGGTTCCATACTGCTCCTCTTGTGGGGAGCAGAGGCCCCAGATGGCTCCCTCTCAGTGACAGAGAGAGCAGGGCTGGCAGGAGAGCTCCTGTGAGGGGCCCACAATTTGGCATCTACTCCTTGCACTTGGTCTGAAACAGTTCACGCTTGTTGGCCTTTCCAGTACCCACTGCAAATCTTTTCTGTTGACGCAGTGTGTAGCAAGGGGTAGGGATTGGCGGCAGAGGTTTATGTGTTTCTGTGTGTGTGTGTGTGAAGGGAGCGTAGATATTAGTTTCCAGTTTTTGTGATTCATATCAAGTGTGCCTCGGGATACAGACAGATGCTTTTTCCCGTCCCGCCCCCTCAATATTTTCCTCGTGGGGGGTGTATCTGTGTGCACAAGCGCAGAATGCGCATACAATGCCTTTATTTTCAAAAGCATTTATTTCACCATGTGTCTAATTAAATGGAGCTTTAATTCCCTGCTATTCATTCTGTTGCACTGGTGAGCTTGTCTTTCATCTTAAATCCTGTGATAGGAGCTTGTGCAAGGAGTAGACGCCAAACTGTGGGCCCCTCAAAGGAGCTGGGTCTGTAGGCACGCTGTACCCCATTTGTTCTTCCATTCTCCACTTCTGGGCTTACGCACGTGGCTGAAAGGGAAAGCATAACAAACCCTTTAGACTCAAACGCACGTGTGGGATGAAACGGGCAGTTTCCCCACTGAGCCATTGCCTTTGACAAGTCTTTTACTTCAATTTCATAAGTATTTCTACACTCTTACGTCCTCTTGTCACCTGTTGCAATTCTTTCAGCATGAACATTACCCAACTGCACTCACAGAATCATTCACCACTGGTACAAGTGGATACAATGCCGCTGAAGTTAAAGGAGCTCCTCTTGCCAGCAGTGACTTTGGCCCGGTGAGTCTCACTGGAGGTTTAGTCCCCAACAGTGGAATTTGCTGAATTGGTGGCTTGTCTCAAAGTTCTCGTGGTCTCAATTTAAACCCTCGTGTGTGTCTGACACACCGAGCGAGGCAAAGGGAAGCAGCTAACAAAACAGAAACGCGCCTTCACATTGAGGGAGGAGGCAGTTCCAAGCTGCAGACACTGTGCAATGAAGTTATGTCTCCCCAAAAAGGGAGGAGCCAGGATCACAATGGTAATTTACAGACACATCACACACACACAGACACACACAAAAATCAGGCTACTTTAAGCATCTTATTTTGGTCAACCAAAAATCACTGGACAATATAGGCTCACTATCCAGTGCGTTACATTGCAAGTACTTAATGCCTGTTGTTTTTTATGAATCTTTAACTCATTTGTAACAATCTTGTCCCCAACACATTATAGAAAAGAGCTTGACTGAAATACCAGCGTGAGCGGGAAAAACAAAAAATGGTTCCATGATTATTCAGCGTACACGAACTAGAGGGTCGTATTACACCTTCATAAGAACATGTGAATGGCCATACTGGGTCAGACCAAAGGTCCATCCAGACCAGTATCCTGTCTACCGACAGTGGCCAATGCCAAGGTCACTCACTCCAGGGCACCTAACAGGTAATGATCAAGTGATCTCTCTCCTGCCATCCATCACCCGCCTCTGACAAACAGAGGCTAGGGACACCTTTCCTTACCAATCCTGGCTAATAGCCATTAATTGACTTTACCTCCATAAATTTAACCAGTTCTCTTTTAAACCCTGTTATAGTCCTAGCCTTCACAACCTCCTCAGGCAAGGAGTTCCACAGGTTGACTGTGCGCTGTGTGAAGAAGAACTTCCTTTTATTTGTTTTATACCTGCTGTCCTTTAATTTCATTTGGTGGCCCCTACTTCTTATATTATGGGAACAAGTAAATAACTTTTCCTTATTCACTTTCTCCACACCACTCATAAATTTTATAGACCTCAATCATATCCCCCCTTAGTCTCCTCTTTTCCAAGCTGAAAAGTCCAAGCCTCTTTAATCTCTCCGCAAATGGGACCCGTTCCAAACCCCTAATCATTTTAGTTGCCTTTCTCTGAACCTTTTCTAATGCCAGTATATCTTTTTTGAGAAGAGGAGACCACATCTGTACGCAGTATTCAAGATGTGGGCGCACCATGGATTTATATAAGGGCAAGAACATATTCTCCATCTTATTCTCTATCCCTTTTTTAATGATTGCTAACATCCCGTTTGCTTTTTTGACTGCCGCTGCACACTGCATGGATGTCTTCAGAGAACTATCCAGGATGACTCCAAGATCTTTTTCCTGATTAGTTGTAGCTAAATTAGCCCCCATCATTTTGTATGTATACTTGGGGTTATTTTTTCCAGTGTGCATTACTTTACATTTATCCACATGAAATTTCATTTGCCATTTTGTTGCCCAATCACTTAGCTTTGTGAGATCTTTTTGAAGTTCTTCACAGTCTGCTTTGGTCTTAACTATCTTGAGCAGTTTCGTATCATCTGCAAACTTTGCCACCCCCCTGTTTACCCCTTCCTCCAGATCATTTATGAATAAGTTGAATAGGATTCGTCCTAGGACTGACTCTTGGGGAACACCACTAGTTACCCCTCTCCATTCTGAAAATTTACCATTTATTCCTACCCTTTGTTCCATGTCTTTTAACCAGTTCTCAATCCATGAAAGGATCTTCCCTCTTATCCCATGGCAACTTAATTTACATAAGAGCCTTTGGTGAGGGATCTTATCAAAGGCTTTCTGAAAATCTAAGTATTATCTAAGTACGTTCAAAGGAAGAGTGAAAAGCATCTGTTGTTTCTGGAAGGACCGCTCATAATTGATAAAAATAGTGAAATTCAGCAGAGGAAGCAGAAGTACCACTCGCAAAAGCTGCGGTGGACCAAGAAGTTATTGAATATCATCTTCTAAATCACTTCCAGTTCCCATTTCAAGATGGGACAGACATGAGGATCCTGAGCAGAAGAAGATAAAAGTGCTCTGCTTTCACCTTTGTGGTACAGTAATTCCCCCTCAGCAGACCCATGGCTCTTGCCAACTTGGGTCACTTCTTGCAGCTCTGCAGTTGGAGGAATCCTGACCCCCAAATGCATTGTGGGAAAGCACAAGCTTTGCAATAAAACAGAAGGGACAAATTTACTCATCTGTCATCCCCACTGCTCTCGGAGCCCTGCCAGCACTGCCCCCAACCTGGTTCATTTCTTATCCTCTACGTCTGTTCCTAACAACTGGGACCGTCCACCTCTCCCCTCAAACCAGTCTGTAAAGTCTCTGGATTTGAGGTGAGCAGCAGCCAGGACAGATCCAGACGGGGTTAGCGTTGGAGGTGCTCACGGATCAGACAGAAGGGAAACCTGTTTCTAGATGCATAATACAAACAAATCAGAGTTTTGACACTTGCCTGGCTCACAGACTGGCAGAGGTGGATCCCACGTGTCATCAGTTTGGCACTGACTCAGACTGTGACCCTTCATGGTGTAGCCGGGATCGCACTCAAAGGTAACACTGTCATTATATAAATAGACACGTCTATCACCAGATACTCTTCTTCCATTCTGGATTTGTGGGGCTGGGCATCTAACCTCTGAAAAAGAAACGCTTTAGCTGAAACACAGGGCCAGAGAGGAAGAAAAACATCTCCGCAGCCTTCGCAGCTCTCAAGCCTTTTTTACACTTTCAATATTTTCCACGTAACTTGTTGCACTAGCCCATGTGTTCTCAAGCTTCATTAAACCACGACCCCCTTCTGACAACAAAAATTAGTACACGACCCGGGACGGGGGAAGAAAGACTGAGCCAGCCTATGCCCCGCCATCCCGGGCAGGGTGGCCAAAGCCAAAGCATGAGCCCCTGTGCCCCAGGCAGGGGAGCCATAGCCCAAGAGCTTCAGCCCCAGCTAGGGAACCTGTGACCTGAGCCCAGCCACCCAGGCCACCCTCGGGCTTAGGCCATGGGCGGTGGGACTCGGGCTTTGGCTTCGGCCCCAGGCAGCGGGGCTCGGGCTTCGATCTCAGGCCCCAGCAAGTAAAGCCCGATCTAGTGACCCCATTAATATGGGGCCGCAACCCATTTTGGGGTCCTGACTTACAGTTTGAGAACTGCTGCACTCCTCTATGTTATTCCTACTTGAAAATACAGATTGTTGTGGGAAATGTGGAGGGCCACCCTGAGAGGAGGAGATGGAGATACACTGGTAACAGCTTAGGTCCCCTCATAGCAACTTCGCAAGGGTAATCTTCTCAAGGAGTGTCCTGTGCACCAATCTCCAAGTCATGGGAGCACCCCCAGGGTAAAGCCAAGGAGCTCAGTCCTACAAGGAACCAACGGGCCTTCACAGCCATTGACCTCAGACATTGAGGGAGCTCAGCAATCTGCACAGTCAAGCCAGAGAGGTTTCAGGAAGCTGGTGGTCCCAGCAACGTACCCTCTCTTCATTACCGTTAGAAGTGCCAGGTCTTTCAGCTTGCCTACCAAACTCCTCCAAATACAAAATTCCACAAGTCTGGCTTATATTTATCCCAAGGGCATTAGTAATAAGAGGTCAAGTGCTTGGGACTGACACAGCTTTACTCCACCCCATTATCTACTGCACCAGCAAGCCTGTGTCCTTCACTCATGGGGGGTAGACTTTGCATCCACGCTGAAGGAATTACTACTAAACGCTTTGCATGTTCCGCATACAGAGATCTCGCAGGATTAATTCTTTTTCCTTTTAAGGAAGATTTTCCTGATGGACATTCAGTTGTCCCTTCAAATGCCAAGAATAGACATCCCCATACTAATGGGAAATGGAGCGCTACCATAACATCCCCCACTTTCATTCCCTTGTGGCTGGGATCAAAGGTCTTTAACAACCTTAATAGAAGTTATGACCCTACATGGGCTGAACACAGAGCTCCTCTTTGGGTGCATCCGGTGGCACCAGTTTCTATCTCAGATCTTTAGCCCTGCTCCAGAGCTATTCAGTCTCCAACATGAATCCTGGAAAATCTTGTGGAGATGTTGCCACAGGCAGGCACACTAAGTGCAGGGATTTAACTGGAGTCTCACATTTGTGGGTTTGTCTAGACCTGAACTTTCTATACATGAAACAGCAGAGCTGGCAGGATTTTCACCTCCACAAACCCTACCTCCACACCGAGGGGGACGTGCACTCCACACGCCGTTTAGCCCGTCCTTGGTTGTGCAGTGAATAGAGGCCTCTCCAGTGAGCAAGTAACCATTTTCACATTTGTAGGTTACAGCTGATCCAAAAGAGAAGTTTTTTGTGAACTCGCCACTGTGACTTCCATTGGGGATGTCTGGAGGCGGAAGACACGGAATACCTGGAGACACACAGGAGGAGTGTATTTTAGAATCATTGCTGGTAGAGAAGCAGCTCCAGTTACTTGATCTGCTAAAGAAATTTAGGAGCCCTAACTATGAAACCACTAGAACGAGCAAGGCCGACAGGTCATGCGCAATGGGTAATTATACCCAATTCTCTTTCGCACTGATGGTCTGTAAACTGTGAAAGAGACTTACTAGGAATCTTACTAGTGTCTTAATGGTCTACACCTTCCTTCATATGGACCGTTTTAAGATCAACCTGTTGAATCCTTACCAGGTGTTGAAAAACGCATGATTTTCCTGCTGCACCATAAGCTGGTGAGCACGCCAGGGCAGGCGAACGCCTTAAAGCACAGGTAATGAGCTTCGTGTCTGGTTTTGGATGAATATAAGTGGGTATCAGGTAAACCTGTTGTGCTCTTCAGAAATCCAGAAGGGCCAATAACCACCTTGGTGGGGCATTTTTGCCATACCAAGCTGAATGCCTTTTGCTATTACTCAGTCATCAAAGAAACACCAAATTCTGATTGCCAGGAACTTAACACAGACATTTCTCTCTAAGGTGCAACCCCCCTTCAATATGGTCTGGTTCTTAAGATACCGGCATTGGACTCAGGAGACCTGGGTTCAATTTTTGACTTGGCTACTGACTGATTCCCTAAACGATATGTCACATAATCACTCTGTGCCTCAGGTGAGACTTTCCGGGGCGGGGATCAGAATTCTTCCATATCTGTTTATTCACATTTGGGGGGGGGGGGGGTGGTACCTAAGCACTTTGACAGACAATTATGACCTACTTACGCTCACAAATGGGAACATCACCAGTCCATGCAACACGCATGCCAGAAATGTCACATCGTCTGTAAGGCCGTCCAATCAACCGGTGCCTGTTGTTAGGCAGAGGGGATTATCAGTTCTTATCTATTTCTTTGGTGTTTGAGCTTTCCTGAGAAGCTCAGTTCTTCTGGGAAGCTCTTCTCCCCAGCCACAGCAGGTGGGGACCAACACCACTGACTTCTGACTGACCACCACTGGAGAAACGCTCCTTGCCAGAGCCGAACTCCCCAGCCTCTTGTAGAATTAATCTCTAGTACAGAAGCCCATGTCGGACCAATGAGCTGCTATTCTGTGAGACGGGGGATCCAAATCTCCTTCTGGTTCCCTCAAGTCCTACTCACCACATCAGATGGATCATTCCCCACCACTGAACCACAAGCCAAAGGCAAACTAGGAACACCACTACAGCATTTCCCCCGGCATTTTCAGGCAGGTTGCCAAGAGGGGTTTTGATTTTCTCATGATGGAGGAGATACATTTCTGTGGGTGCGGGCCAGGCAGACCCAGCTGGGGTCTGGCTAGCTTGAGAGTCATAAACTAAGTCAATCAAGACTGTTGTAATGCATGCAGGAGTAACACCCCACCCCAGCAGAGAGGTCCAAAACACAGACGCTATACAGCAAACCTCAGCTGAGCTGACCTCTGGAGTTCAGCAGCCAGCTGTCATTACAGGCAGTGTCTGTGAAATGGGACTTCCTGTGGTCACAGGTTCTTCCCTTTCGCCCTCACATAGGACACGCTCTACAAGGTCACAAGCCAGCACTACAGCTGCAGACCCCTGAAGCACAGTCCTCATCCTCAAATGGAGCGGGCATATGACGCCCTCTTCTGCCACCGTATCCCCAGCATTCTCACTCGGGCACCTTCCCCAGCAGGGTTTCCCTTTGGAGACACCTCATCAGTCTGGCAGGTGGGCAGTTAGTCAGTGAAAACCCTTCCACCCAACTCCGTACGGGAAAACAGCCATTTCCAATGATTCCGAAGAAGAACTATTCCCGTGTCCAAGCAGGGGTAAAATCCAAGAGATTCCAAGGTTTGCCCTGGTCACTTGGATCCTACTCTCCACAGGAGACATCTGTGCTCAGCCAGCACCTGCAGGCAGAGCATTCAGCTGGCCAAACTGCAACTAAAGTTTGTACAATCAATGGCAGAGCATGAGTGAAGAAAAGAGGGAGACTTATTCCAATCCGTCTTTCCTCGCATATAAAAATTATATTGATTGAGCCAAGAAGATGGAGGGCTGCTTTAGTATGGAAGAGTAAACTGCTTTCAGGAGTTGGGAGAATATGAGGATATCCATTTGTGTTCCACAGCTGTAAGCGAAGCACAAGTAGTCAGCTCAGGCAGTCTGAAACTTACCCTTCTTCACACGTGAAGTTGACGGTTGACCCAAAATGGATATCTGTTACAATAACTCTGCCGTTCTCCGGCTCTCCTGGATGACCACACGATTTCTCTGGTGGAGAACAAGGCTCGGATTAGGCTTCTCTCTTTCAATGCAACAATTATCCCCAGGAACTGTCCATATTTAACACTCCCCATAAAGATGGCATTTAAAAGGGCCCAGAATAGGCACAGCGAGAGAGCTTTACTAGTCACTATTAACTATTTAAAGATACGTAACACTTTGCAGCGTGGACACAACTTAGTGCCTCAAAGACCTTTATTGAACAATAGAAACAAAATTCATTATGATATTCACTTTTACAGAACTCGAATGCTTCTGACCACGTTCGATTTTCAAGGCATGTAATAGTGGATTGCATATGCGGGTGTCTACTGTATCCAGGCCGGCAAGTATAGTTTATAGTCTTCCCAACAGGAAAGGAAGACTGATTTTTATACTCGCTCTTCAGCTCAGCAAAGCTTAACCTCGTTGGGACTCCACAGCCCTCTAGGAAGAAAGGAAATACATATGAGAAAAAAAGAACCATATCTACTCTGCTGGCATGTACCACGTCAGGTGCAGGTAGATACAACAACAGTTACAAAGAAACAACTGCAGATCTGCTTTATAAATATTCTTCCAGGCGTTACACTAGGACTAAAGCCGAGGGAAAAAGAACGATGAGACAAAGGTGCTAATGCAATAAAATTCATAGCTGGACACTGAACCTAAAACAACACACACTGGGCCAAACTCACCGCTGGCACAAGAACCTCTATTTCCCAATCAACTAAAACAACATGTACACCTGCCCTGTTTACCTCAGGTCCTAATATCCATCCTTGGGCTGCCCTACTCCCAGGACGCTAAAATGTGCCATTTTTCAGAAGTACTGTCAGCGAAAGACGAAAGGGTCCCAATCGTGGCTTCTGGCCTGAAAGCATAGGACTCTATAGGTTCAGCAATGCCCAACGGAATTAATATCCACATAGAGCATCATCTGTTAAAGGGCCCAAGCCCTTCACAAACTGATACGACATCCCATTGACGCAAGACACTTCAGTTCTCTCTTACTCTCATCTAGCGGCTGAGGCGATAAGACGAGCACACCTCACCGACGGCAGACGTGGGAACATAAATAACCGCTCCTCGCGCTGCCTCAACCGTGAGCGCTGACCTCTCATTGTATCTAGCAGCGTGTACACACCCAGATTCGCACCTTGGGAGATTTCAGACTGTTCTGGTGAACGCACTCTCTGCCACTTCCTTCGTTTACATTTTCAAATTCAATTGTCTCAAAAGAATATATTTGCATTTGTAATAACAGCAAGTGTCTGGGTTCACACCATTAGTGAAACCACTGCAACATCGATGGGTGGACATGCCCTAAGAGTCTGCGTGGGAGTTTGTCTACAGAGTCATTTCTTTTGCAGAGCCTTTAACTTCATTTTCGTGAGTATTTCTACACTATTCCATCTTCCTTCTGACACTTTTATAAATCCTCTCAACTGTAATCTTGTCCGGCAGCACTCAGAGAGCCACGCTTCCACCGGCATCAGTGTGCAAGTTCCACCAAAGTCAACTGAGCTTCTTGTGCCGGCAGTGATTATAGCCCTGTGTCTCTCCCTGGGGAATCTATTAACTTAGGCTTGAATAAAGACTGGGAGTGGACGGGTCATTCCACAAAGCAAAACTATTTCCCCATGTTTATTCCCCTCCCTCTCCCATGACTGTTCCTCAGTCAGCTGCTGGAAATGGCCCACCTTGATTATCACTGCAATATGTTTCCCTCCCCGCACCGCAGCTCTCCTGCTGGTAATAGCTCACCTTACCTGATCACTCTCGTTACAGTGTGTATGGTAACACCCATTGTTTCATGTTCTCTATGTATATAGATCTCCCCACTCTATTTTCCACTGAATGCATCCGATGAAGTGAGCTGTAGCTCACAAAAGCTTATGCTCAAATAAATTTTTTAGTCTCTAAGGTGCCACAAGTCCTCCTGTTCTTTTTGCGGATACAGACTAACACAGCTGCTGCTCTGAAACCTATTCCCAGCTGTGAATTTTGTTGCATTAGATGGTGTGTCTGAACATTCTTTCTCTCGCTATCCATCCTGCTGGGTTACTGACAAAAGGAAGAAGCCAACCGAAAATCCATTCACCTTCACATAGAGGAGAAGGGTGGCTCCAAGTTCCAGATGTGGTACAATAGATCGAAGCCTCTCCACGGAGGGTGTAGCCAGGTTCACAGCTGTAGTTCGCATATGTTCCACTGGGGAAAGCTGCCAAAGGCTTGGCATTGTGCTTCCCTTTGACGATGACCGGAGGTGGGGGACACAGCAACACTAAAGGGGGGAGAGGGGATGAAGAATATTTCAGGGAAAAAAATCTGAACCCTGTTCAAGAAGAGCATAAAATAGGCTGGTCTCCAGGAGGGGGAAAAGCCCAGGATGCCTGTGTTGTGTCAAACCCTGCATCGCACCGGTGATGCGACACATCCAAAAAAGTTTAAATATCACCGACCTCGATTCCCCTTCACCCCGAACTCAGATTTTCCCAATCTGCTACTTTTCGGTCCCTAGAACTCGCCCTTCACTCCCTTAAGAATCCAAAATATAATTTGTGGAGAGCGGGACGAGTTCTGCTGATTTGTGTTTCCATTCACAGCTTTAGGATGCTCAGTGAGACAGACCATTGCCAGATCTCTGCCTGACAGGAGGGCAGGGCAGGATGCAGGGGATCAGCTATCACAGAGACGAGCACAGTCGAAAGATTAGAGGGTGGGCGGATATTTGTATGTTCCCCATTCACAGCTGAACAGTGACCCCAGGATTCAAAAGACGTTTATTTTTTTGCATCCAGGCACATCCCGACCAGATGTTGATCATCTCAGTTACCCTGCAGTCAACCTTGATTCACACTCACCCTGTGTGCAGACTGGAACAGGAGGATCCCAGGTTCCTTCATCTCGGCACTGAATCTGACGGCTGCCGCTCAGGGTGTAGCCAGGATCACATTCAAACCTAACCGTGTCCCTGGGTCTGTAGACAGGTCCACGTCCAGCTACTTTTCTTCCATTCTGGATTGCTGGGGCGATGCAGAGAACCTCTGAAATTGAAAAGGTGCAGAAGGCGTCAGCCTGCCCGGCAAGCAGTGCTGTTCAGTGGGCCCTTGGTGCCTGTGCTCTGCACTGACTCCCTACCAGTTTCTGGGAAGAGAGTTTATGGTGTTGCTTTTAACCTCTAAAATGCAAAAAGAGTATAGCGCAACCCTGTCTAAAACCACATCCCATGAGGAACCGTACTGCTCCTCTCATGGTGAATAGAGTCCCCAGAGTGATCCCTCTCAGTGACAGAGAGAGCAGGGCTGGTGGGAGAGCTCCCCGTGAGGGACCCTCATTTTGGCACCATGGTCTTTAACAATACTGGCCTGTTCGCCTTTGGGGGACACACTTTCCTCTTTACTCGCGTGTAACGAGGCAAGATGGGGATAGCGTGCCTGTGAGTGTGAGGGGAGTGTGGAAATTAGTTACTAGTGTTTCTAATTTATGTCAAGGGTGCCTCGGGTTTCACACAGCTGCAGCTTTTTAATGTTTCACTAATGTGGTGTGTATGTGTGCACAGGAGTGCAGAGTTTGCATTCAGCACATTTATTTTCAAAAGCATTTGTTTCACCCTGTGTCTAATTATACAGTTTTAATTCCTTGCTCTTAAATTTGTTGCACTTGTGACTTTGTCTTTTGAGTTAAATCCTGTGGTAGGAGCTTCTTCCTCTTAGTTCTAGGTAACAGAACATAAACGCACCTTCACACCGAGGAGGGGGAGAGCTCCAGGTTCCGGATGCCGTACAATAAATAGATGCCTGCCCAGTTACGGAGTAGCCGGGCTCACAGCTGTAATTTACAGACATTCCACTGGTGAACACTGCCAAGGCCTGGCCACTGGGCTTCCCGTTGGCGATGGCTGGAGGAGAGACACACTGCACCGCTACAGGGAGGGAAGAGAGCTTTAACTGAAGCAGAGCTCATGCAGGCTGATCTCCAGAAGGGAAAATATCTGCATACTTCTGTTGAGTCATGTCCAACACAACAGCAGTGAGACAAATGCAGATCACATACCTCCATCCATTCACATCCCCCCAAATGCCTATAAAGAATGATGACTCCGTTATGCTTCTTGTAACCCCCAAACATTTTCCCAGATGCCTAAGTAAGGCTCCAAGCGCCATTTCCACTCTATATTTTGTGTTTATATGGGAAATGCTGCCACTTTGGGACTATTTATTCATTGGTAGGGGCCACCCACAAGTTCCCTTAACTTGGGAGGGAGGTTAAGTGGGCAAAACTGACCAGGACTCAGTTCTTCAGGGATCTTTTTGGAGAATGGAAGAGCCCAGATACGATGGAGAGGAACACAGGGAACACTGGGATAACTACACAGATATTTGCATTTCCCTTGTCAGGTCTCAAACTAATCCCACAGTCCTTTTGGCCTCCCGGCTCAGCCCTGCCAGGTCTGACTCATCACAATGGGATCAAAGCCTTAGTCATACTTACTTCTTTCACAGGTGGGGACAGGAGGATCCCATCTACCATCATCTTGGCACTGCGTCTCAGCGCTGCCACTCAAGGTGTAACCAGCGTCGCATTCAAACACAACCATGTCTCTGGGTCTGTAGGCACGCTGTACCCCATTTGTTCTTCCATGCTCCACTTCTGGGCTTACGCATGTTGCTGAAAGGGAAAGCATAACACACCCTTTAGACTCTAACGCAGGCGTGGGATGGAATGGACTGAACCATTTTTTCCTCTGGCAAGTCTTTTACTGTAGTTCAATTTCATAACTATTTCTATACTATCACATCCTGTTGTCGCTTTTATCAATTCTTTCAGCATGAACATTACTGAGCTGCACTCGCAGAATCCATCAGCACCGTTCCAAGTGGATGCAATGCCACTGAACTTAAAGGAGCTCCTCTTGCCAGCAGTGACATTGGCCCGTGTGTTTCACTGTGTTTAGTTGTGAAATTTGCTGCATTGGTGGCTTGTCTCAAAGTTCTCATGGTCTCAATTTAAACCCTCGTGTGTGTCTGACACACCGAGCGAGGCAAAGGGAAGCAGCTAACAAAACAGAAACGCGCCTTCACATTGAGGGAGGAGGCAGTTCCAAGCTGCAGACACTGTGCAATGAAGTTATGTCTCCCCAAAAAGGGAGGAGCCAGGATCACAATGGTAATTTACAGACACATCACACACACACAGACACACACAAAAATCAGGCTACTTTAAGCATCTTATTTTGGTCAACCAAAAATCACTGGACAATATAGGCTCACTATCCAGTGCGTTACATTGCAAGTACTTAATGCCTGTTGTTTTTTATGAATCTTTAACTCATTTGTAACAATCTTGTCCCCACCCCATTATAGAAAAGAGCTTGACTGAAATACCAGTGTGAGGGGGAAAAACAAAAAATGGTTCCATGATTATTCAGCGTACAGGAACTAGAGGGTCGTATTCCACCTTCATAAGAACGGCCATACTGGGTCAGACCAAAGGTCCATCCAGACCAGTATCCTGTCTACCGACAGTGGCCAATGCCAAGGTCACTCACTCCGGGGCACCTAACAGGTAATGATCAAGTGATCTCTCTCCTGCCATCCATCACCCGCCTCTGACAAACAGAGGCTAGGGACACCGTTCCTTACCAATCCTGGCTAATAGCCATTAATTGACTTTACCTCCATGAATTTATCCAGTTCTCTTTTAAACCCCGTTATAGTCCTAGCCTTCACAACCTCCTCAGGCAAGGAGTTCCACAGGTTGACTGTGCGCTGTGTGAAGAAGAACTTCCTTTTATTTGTTTTAAACCTGCTGTACATTAATTTCATTTGGTGGCCCCTACTTCTTATATTATGGGAACAAGTAAATAACTTTTCCTTATTCACTTTCTCCACACCACTCATAATTTTATAGACCTCTATCATATCCCCCCTTAGTCTCCTCTTTTCCAAGCTGAAAAGTCCTAGCCTCTTTAATCTCTCCTCATATGGGACCCATTCCAAACCCCTAATCATTTTAGTTGCCCTTCGCTGTCTTATTCTGTTCCTTTTTTAATGATTCCTAACATCCCGTTTGCTTTTTTGACTGCCGCTGCACACTGCGTGGCTGTCTTCAGAGAACTATCCAGGATGACTCCAAGATCTTTTTCCTGATTAGCTGTAGCTAAATTAGCCCCCATCATTTTGTATGTCTACTTGGGGTTATTTTTTCCAGTGTGCATTACTTTACATTTATCCACATGAAATTTCATTTGCCATTTTGTTGCCCAATCACTTAGCTTTGTGAGATCTTTTTGAAGTTCTTCACAGTCTGCTTTGGTCTTAACTATCTTGAGCAGTTTTGTATCATCTGCAAACTTTGCCACCCCCCTGTTTACCCCTTCCTCCAGACCATTTATGAATAAGTTGAATAGGATTGGTCCTAGGACTGACCCTTGGGGAACACCACTAGTTACCCCTCTCCATTCTGAAAATTTACCATTTATTACTACCCTTTGTTCCCTGTCTTTTAACAAGTTCTCAATCCATGAAAGGATCTTCCGTCTTCTCCCATGGCAACTTAATTTACGTAAGAGCCTTTGGTGAGGGACCTTGTCAAAAGCTTTCTGGAAATCTAAGGACAATCTAAGTACATTCAAAGGAAGAGTATAAAGCATCTGTCGTTACTGGAAGGACCGCTCATAATTGATAAAAATAGTGAAATTCAGCAAAGGAAGCGGAAGTACCCGCAAAAGCTGCGGTGGACCAAGAAGTTATTGAGTATCATCTTCTAAATCACTTCCAGTTCCCATTTCAAGATGGGACAGACGTGAGGATCCTGAGCAGAGGAAGATAAAAATGCTCTGCTTTCAACTTTAAGCTACAGAAATTCCCCTCACCAGGTCCCCTCTTGCCAAACTTGGTCACTTTTCGCAGTTGCTGCAGTGTGAGGAATCCTGACCCCCAAATGCATTGTGGGAAAGCAAATCCAAATATAATTTGTGGAGAGCGGGATGAGTTCTGCTGATTTGTGTTTCCATTCACAGCTTTAGGATGCTCAGTGAGACAGACCATTGCCAGATCTCTCCCTGTCAGGAGGGCAGGGCAGGACGCAAGGGATCAGCTATCACAGGGACGAGCACACTCAAGAGATTAGGGGGTGGGCGGATATTTGTATGTTCCCCATTCACAGCTGAAAAGTGACGCCTGGATTCAAAGGACGTTGGTTTTTTTTTGCGTCCAGGCACATCCCTACCAGATGTTGATCGTCTCAGTTACCCTGCAGTCAACCTTGATTCACACTCACTCTGTGTGCAGGCTGGAACAGGAGGATCCCAGATTCCTTCATCTCGGCACTGAATCTGACGGCTGCCGCTCAGGGTGTAGCCAGGATCACATTCAAACCTAACCGTGTCCCTGGGTCTGTAGACAGGTCCACGTCCAGCTACTTTTCTTCCATTCTGGATTGCTGGGGCGATGCAGAGAACCTCTGAAATTGAAAAGGTGCAGAAGGCGTCAGCCTGCCCGGCAAGCAGTGCTGTTCAGTGGGCCCTTGGTGCCTGTGCTCTGCACTGACTCCCTACCAGTTTCTGGGAAGAGTTTATGGTGTTGCTTTTAACCTCTCCACTGCAAACGCTATCATGCAAGCCCGCCTAAAACCACATCCCACGGGGTTCCATACTGCTCCTCTTGTGGGGAGAAGAGGCCCCAGATGGCTCCCTCTCAGTGACAGAGAGAGCAGGGCTGGCAGGAGAGCTCCTGTGAGGGGCCCACAGTTTGGCATCTACTCCTTGCACAGGGTCTGAAACAGTTCACGCTTGTTGGCCTTTCCAGTACCCACTGCAAATCTTTTCTGTTGACTGAGTGTGTAGCAAGGGGTAGGGATTGGCGGCAGAGGTTTACGTGTTTCTCTCTGTGTGTGTGAGGGGAGCGTAGATACTAGTTTCCAGTTTTTGTGATTCATGTCAAGTGTGCCTCGGGATTCAGACAGATGCTTTTTCCCCTCCCGCCCCCTCAATATTTTCCTAGTGGGGGGTATATCTGTGTGCACAAGCGCAGAGTGCACATACAATGCCTTTATTTTCAAAAGCATTTATTTCACCATGTGTCTAATTAAATGGAGCTTTAATTCCCTGCTATTCATTCTGTTGCACTGGTGAGCTTGTCTTTCATCTTAAATCCTGTGATAGGAGCTTGTGCAAGGAGTAGACGCCAAACTGTGGGCCCCTCACAGGAGCTGGGTCTGTAGGCACGCTGTACCCCATTTGTTCTTCCATTCTCCACTTCTGGGCTTACGCACGTGGCTGAAAAGGAAAGCATAACAAACCCTTTAGACTCCAACGCACGTGTGGGATGAAATGGGCTGTTTACCCACTGAGCCATTGCCTTTGACAAGTCTTTTACTTCAGTTTCATAAGTATTTCTACATTCTCACGTCCTCTTGTCACCTGTAGCAATTCTTTCAGCATGAACCTTACCCGGCTGCACTCACAGAATCATTCACCGCTGGTACAAGTGGATGCAATGCCGCTGAAGTTAAAAGGAGCTCCTCTTGCCAGCAGTGACTTTGGCCAGGTGAGTCTCACTGGAGGTTTGGTCCCCAACTGTGGAATTTGCTGAATTGGTGGCTTGTCTCAAAGTTCTTGGGGTATCTGTTTAAATCCTTTTGCGTGTCTGACGCACCGAGCGAGATAAAGGGAAGCAGCAAGCAGAACAGAAACGCACCTTCCCATTGAGCGTGGGGGTTGCTCCAAGCTTCAGACGCCGTACAATGAAGTGATGCCTCCCCAAGAAGGGAGTAGTCAGGATCACAATGGTAATTTACGGACACTCATCACCCAGAATTAAAATCAAGCCCCTTTAAGCATCTTATTTTGGGCAACCAAAAATCATTGGACAATTTAGGCTCACTATTTAGTATGTTACATTGCAAGAGCTAACGGCCGATTGCTTTTCTGAATCTTTTACTCATTTGTAACACTCTCATCCCCACCCCATTACAGAAAAGAGCTTGACTGAAAGACCAGTGTGAGAGGGAAAGTCAGAAGTGAGTTCATGATTATTCCACAGGCAGGAACTAGAGGGACATATTCCACCTCCAAAGGAAGAGTGAAAAGCGTGCGTAGTTACTGGAAGGACTGCTCATAATTGATAAAAATAGTGAAAGACAGCAGAAGAAGCAGAAGTACCACCTGCAAAAGCTGCGGTGGACCAAGAAGTTATTGAATATCATCTTCTAAATCACTTCCAGTTCCCATTTCAAGATGGGACAGACATGAGGATCCTGAGCAGAAGAAGATAAAAGTGCTCTGCTTTCACCTTTGTGGTACAGTAATTCCCCCTCAGCAGACCCATGGCTCTTGCCAACTTGGGTCACTTCTTGCAGCTGCTGCAGTTGGAGGAATCCTGACCCCCAAATGCATTGTGGGAAAGCACAAGCTTTGCAATAAAACAGAAGGGACAAATTTACTCATCTGTCATCCCCACTGCTCTCGGAGCCCTGCCAGCACTGCCCCCAACCTGGTTCATTTCTTATCCTCTACGTCTGTTCCTAACAACTGGGACCGTCCACCTCTCCCCTCAAACCAGTCTGTAAAGTCTCTGGATTTGAGGTGAGCAGCAGGCAGGACAGATCCAGACGGGGTTAGCGTTGGAGGTGCTCACGGATCAGACAGAAGGGAAACCTGTTTCTAGATGCATAATACAAACAAATCAGAGTTTTGACACTTGCCTGGCTCACAGGCTGGCAGAGGTGGATCCCACGTGTCATCAGTTTGGCACTGACTCAGACTGTGACCCTTCATGGTGTAGCCGGGATCGCACTCAAAGGTAACACTGTCATTATATAAATAGACACGTCTATCACCAGATACTCTTCTTCCATTCTGGATTTGTGGGGCTGGGCATCTAACCTCTGAAAAAGAAACGCTTTAGCTGAAACACAGGGCCAGAGAGGAAGAAAAACATCTCCGCAGCCTTCGCAGCTCTCAAGCCTTTTTTACACTTTCAACATTTTCCATGTAACTTGTTGTACTAGCCTATATTATTCCTACTTGAAACTGCAGATTGTTGTGGGAAATGTGGAGGGCCACCCTGAGAGGGGGAGATGGAGATACACTGGTAACAGCTTAGGTCCCTTCATAGCTACTTCGCAAGGGTTCTCTCCTCATGGAGTGTCCTGTGCACCATCTCCAAGTCATGGGAGCTCCCCCAGGTAAAGCCAAGGAGCTCAGTCCTAAAAGGACCAAGGGGCCTTAACACCCACTGACATCAGACACCGAGGGAGCTCAGCATTCCGCACAGTCAGGCCCAAGATGCTTCAGGAGGGTGCTGGCCCCAGCAACGTACCCTCTCTTCGTTAGCATTAGAAGAGCCAGCGTCTTTCAACTTGCCTACCAAACTCCTTCAAACACAAAACTGCACAAGTCCGGCTTACAAATATCCCAAGATTATCTATCTACCTATAACAAAACAGTAAGCTACGTATCGAGCTACACCAACAGTGCCAGACCATTGTGATATCAGAAATAAGTTAACCCTTGCTGTTGGAACAGATCATTGGTGTGAAGGAGATTGCACAGAAAGTAGATTCTTTGGCCCAAGTGCCGCAGTTCTTCCAAACCATCCACACAACACCACAACCGCCACACACAATAACCCCTCATAAAACAGCCTCTCCCCACAGCACACACCACTCCCTCGCCACCCACAGACACAAATCAGAACAACCACCCACACAACACAACCAGCACACACAGTCAGCCTAGACACCCACAGCCCCTCTATGCAGCATACGTCCCTCAGTTCTTGAAACCTGCACAAATTAACACAATTATCCCAGTGCCATACATGGTCGCCCACGTCACTGGATTAGGACTTCTTAGAGCCATCTGCTTGGGGTGCAGAGCAGCTAGGAGAGCTGCCTGGTCATGCAATCTAGAAACTTACACCCACCACCTCCCTAACATTCACCAGTGTCATCCCTTTGCCGCAAGGGTTAAAGACCTTTAACAGCATTCCTATACAGTTGTGACCCTAACTGCTCTGCTAACAGAGCTGCTCTATGGGTGCATCCAAATGCATCAGATTCCACCTCAAATCTTCAGCCCTGCTCCAGAGCTATTCACTCTCTGTCTAACATGAATCATGCAAATCTTGTGGAGATATTGCCACGGGCAGGCACACTAAGTGCAGGTTAGTGGAATCTCACCTTTGTGGGTTTGTCTGGACCTGGACTTTCTACACATGAAACAGCAGAGCTGGCAGGAGTTTTTCACCTACACAAACCCTACCTCCACACCGAGGGGGACGCGCACTCCACTCTCCGTTTAGCCCGTCCTTGGTTGTGCAGTGAATAGAGGCCTCTCCAGTGAGTGGGTAACCATTGTCACATTTGTAAGTTACAACTGAGCCATAAGAGAAGTCCTCCATTATCACCCCAGTGTGCCTTCCACTGGGGATGTCAGGAGGCGGAAGACACGGAATACCTGGAGAGACACAAGATATTTAGAATCAATACTGGTAAAGAAGCATCTCCAGTTACTGGATCTGCTAAAGAAAACTAGGTGCATGAGCTATGAAACCACTAGAATGTACTAGCCCAACAGGCAACGGCCCAGGGATGTCGGAATTGATTGGGCGCTGATGTTCCGTAAATCACCAAGCTGACTTACTAAGACAAGTGCTAACTGTAGTAGCTTACTGATGAGTAAGACTGGAAAAGGGCAAATACAGTGTCCATCTATAAAAAGGGAAATAAGGACAACCCAGGGAATTACAGACCAGTCAGCTTAACTTCTGTACCCGGAAGGATAATGGAGCAAATAATTAAGCAGTCAATTTGCAAACATCTAGAAAATAATAAGGTGATGAGTAACAGGCAGCATGGATTTGTCACGAACAAATCCTGTCAGACCAAGTTGATTGATAGCTTTCTTTGACAGGGTAACAAGCCTTGTGGATGGGGTGGAAGTGGTAGACGTGGGATATCTTGACTTTAGTAAAGCGTTTGACACTCTCTCGCATGACCTTCTCCTAAACAAACTAGGGAAATGCAACCTAGATGAAGCGACTATAAGGTGGGTGCAAAACTGGTTGGAAAACCATTCCCAGGGGAGTAGTTATCAGTGGTTCACAGTCATTCTGGAAGGGCATAATGAGTGGGGTCCTGCAGGGATCAGTTCTGGGTCTGGTTCTGTTCAATATCTTCATCAATGATTTAGATAATGGCATAGAGAGTACACTTATAAAGTTTGCGGACAGTACCATGCTGAGAGGGGTTGGAAGTGCTTTGGAGGATAGGATTAACATTCAAAATGATCTGGACAAACTGGAGAAATGGTCTGAAGTAAATAGGATGAAATTCAGTAAGGACAAATAAAAAGTACTCTACTTAGGAAGGAACAATCAGTTGCACACATATAAAATGGGCAATGACTGCCTAGGAAGGAGTACTGTGGAAAGGGATCTGGGGGTCATCGTG